CCCCGGGCCAAAGACAGGCGCTAAACCGCTGCGCCACCCAGGGATCCCTGTTCAATGTTTTTAAGTTATTTAGTTTTTCTATGAAAGCAGTGTTGCTCCAGACATGATGGAATCACAGACTGGTAGAAAAATAAGTAGCAATGGCTGACCTTTCCCCAGTACTTCTTCCTGGACTCTACATGGTCCAGTCATTCTTCTCAACAACCCCCGGAGGTAGGGACTGCCGTTCTCATTTTATTGATGAGGACCCTAAAGCTCATAGAGTTTAAAGAACCCTCCCAAGTTTCTCTAACAAGTAATTGCTGAGCTGAAGTCTGAGACCAGGGTTACATGCTTTCAAAACTCTTGAAGGCCACGCTGCTCAAGGCCCTGTCACATCGTACTGACTTTATTCACAGCAAACGGGTTCTCTGGGAGGAGAGTCACAGTCACAATGTGCAGTTTAGAGACTTCACTTTGCGATAGGTCCCCATGGACGGCTCCCCCCCACGCCCCTGATTAAGTCCTGAATGGTGAAGCAGGGAAGAAAAGCCAACTCTGGCTGCAGGTGGCTCCCTGAGTGACTTCTTTGCACTGCCTCTTGCCCCAGTAGGGAGGGAGAGGTCCCCTGCTCCATCCAGCTCTGTGCTTCAGGTGTCAGGGTGGCAGCTTCCGGGCAGACTTAAGCTGGGAAGGGGCAGGGGAAGAGGGAGTGGTGTAATGCCAGGCCACCTGACACCCCCTCCCCACCTCCAGCTCCCTTCTCACTCCGGCTTCAACCCTCCCCCACCAAAGCCTTGGGCACCGGCCCTGCTCCATGCTCCACGCTCCATCTAGCAGCAGCACCCCTGTGCCTTGCGTTCTCCAAGGTACAGTGGGAAAGCTGCCATCGGCCCCTCAGGAGCTCGGGAATGTGGCTTGGAGCAGAAAGGCCTTGAAGACATGGGACAGCCTGCAGAGATGTGGGGACCTCAGTCAGCTGAGGGAAGAGAAAGGTCTGGGGAGGTTGCCTTTTTAGAAAGCATTTCTGTCTTCTCCACAGCTTCCTGGGTGGAGAGGATGAGGCTCCTGTCTTCACCGTCTTTATCTCCTCATCTGGCAGGTGCAGATAAGCACGCCTGCCTCTGGGCTGGTGGGAGGACTGAGGGAAATAAGGCAGGCATCAGTGGAGAACTTGAAGTATACCTCGGGGCGGCGGTGGTGAAGGGGTGCTTATTGATGCCATCATTAAGTCAAATGGGGCCAACGTCCTGAGCCTTCCTGAGCTCCCCAGTCAGCCGGGACACACTACCCCCCCTCCCTTTCGCAGGCCTTCCAGAGCCTCCTTGTCATGATGGTATCATGACTCTAGCTCTTTGCTCAGCTTTTTCCCCTTCTTGGGCTTCTTTCTCCATCTTGTCCTCGGTTCAGTGCCATCTTTTCCAGAAAGCTTCCTCGAGTGCCCGTCTCCACTTGTGGGCCTCCTTACAGCCTTCAGTGAGCCCCATGATCGCTGCCTTGATAACTGTGGCTGTCACTGCCTCTGTCTGCAGCTGTCACTTCTGTAGACCGTGAACTCTTCAAGGGCAGGGCCAGGTCTGGGCCAGAACCAGAGACTTATGAGCATTTGTAGGAGGAAAGCCGGCCTGGGGCTGCCCCAAAGCAGCTCCCAGTCTGAAGAGGTCACGTCAGGGACCCCTCACTACAGTGAAGCAGAGGAGGTGCTGGAGCTGCCAGGGAGGGAATGCACCTCTGTGCTGTATGTCCGTCTGTCTGTGTAGCTCTCCATGTAGAGGAAGCGGACGGAAGCTCTTTCTTGATGGAAGGTGGTGGTGGCGGTGGTGAGGTGTATGCAGGAGTGGGAGGCAGGCTCTCGGCTCCGGAGCTATTCAGAGGTGGTCATAAGCCAGGACCATGGGCTTGACTTCCTGGGGCTGACGGGTGGGCACTGGCTCAGGCAGACACTTGGTTAGAACCCACGCCTGGCCTCGTCACCTGTTCTCTGTGGCTCGTCTAGAGTCGGGGTAACAATCCTACCTCACAGGCTTCGTGAGCGCTCAAGGAGAGAGGACCAGTTGAACACCCAGAGTGGCAGGTGCTCGCTGCCTCTTCCCCGATTCATCCAACACGAGTGGACTGAACACCAGGCACTGGGCTAAGCCATGCGCACCAAGGAGGCTACTGTGCCCGTCTCAGGAAGAAAGGGGCGGGGGGCTGCGTCTGGTGGGGCCTTTTCAGGAAAGAAACTCAGTCTTTATCCTAGAGTCATGGGAAGCCAGTGGAGGACTTCGAGTTCAGAAGTGACATGGTCAAATTTGGGTTGTTTTTTTTTTTTTAAAGATTTTATTTATTTATTCACAAGAGACACACAGAGAGAGAGGCAGAGACACAGGCAGAGGGAGAAGCAGGCTCCATGCAGGGAGCCCGATGCGGGACTTGTCCTGGGACTCCAGGATCATGCCCTGCGCTGAAGGCGATGCTAAACCGCCGAGCCACCCAGGGATCCCCCTCAAATTTGGGTTTTAAACAGAAAACGTTGACTGTTATGAGAAGGATGGGTTAGAGGGAATAAAGCTTCCAACATTCTCCCTTATAAAAACCACTTAGAGGCTGATGGGTTACTCTAGACATCCTTTAACATACATTCCTGAACAGAAATCCTCTCAAGACAAGAATAAAAATGAAGCTGAAATCAGGCTGGTAAGTGACATGAAGCCACAGCAATGTGAAGGTATTGACAAATTCCAGAAATCCAGAACCTTGAGTTTTAATGACCACTCAAGGCATGAGAAGTAAGGACTTGGGCCTACCCCGTGGCAGTGTGAGGAGTTGAAACCTAGCCCCCCTGCCACCACCACGTGAATCTAGGACCTTCAGGGGGCTTCCTCCTGAGTGAATAGGGTCATTGACCAGAAAGAAATAGCCACCCTCCCACAAAGGGGGATGACAGGTCTGGTAGAGAAAATTATAAATATGAATCTGCTGTCACACAAATTTTGGGTTTGAAGACATACTCCCTTTGTGGTCCTGGAAATACTAACCTAAAAGAGTAACTTAAGTATCATGGAATGGTAGTGCCCCAGGAATCTGGCCAAAGTAAAGGAAAATCCTCTCTGGAGAAACAGATCCTTCTCCTAAGATGCCTTTGGGATCAGCCAAAAAGGAGCTCATGGTAAAATTACAAAACACACAAGGAAAGAAGTCATTGTGAGCAGTAGATCCCCAAATTAAGAAACAACAGGATTTGTTTCTCTGAGAGTCTTAGATGCTAGAATTATGGGATCTAGAATAGAAGTATCTTAAAAACATGTAAAGAAAATCAAAGATGGACTTGAAACAAATAAGCAGGGAACAAAATGCTGCCCCAAACAACCAAGACGATTTCAAAAGGAAGCAAGTGGAATTTCTGAAAATGCAAAATATGATCCTTAAAATTAAAAACTCAGTAGACAGGAAGAGAGGCAGATCAGACACGCCTCCAGAGAATTCGTGGAATGGAAGACCCGAAGAAATTACTCAGAATCTAACAGGGTGAAAGAGATGGCAACAAAGAGAGGGAAGAGACTTGAAATAGCAAAATAGTCCAACAGAGAGAGAGAGAGAGAGAGAGAGACAGGAGGGGTAGGAGGGGTAAGAGCAGGAGGGGCATCTTTCATTGACCCGGGGTGAGGGTGATGGCGGCTGGCCCTTGGGCTTGCTGGGCACAGAAGAGCCAGGGTTGAGAGGTGCCCAGGAGGCCCAGCCGCTCGGGCTTGGTGAGGCCTGGCCAGGGAGGCCCAGAGAGGCAGGGAGCATGGCTGACTGCCAGACTTCTGGCCTGACAAACTGGGCAGAGGGGTGTCATTCATTAAGATGGCGAAGACTGGAGGAGAAGGAACAAGAGTGCGGTTTTGAACAAGACACTCGTTTCGATCTGCCGGGAAGATGCGCTGCTGCGTCACAGAGGACACATTAGAGCTGGCCTCAAGGGATGTGCAGACCTTGACCTGGTGGAGAGAGACTCTCTCTTAACTGTTTGGGGGAAAGGGACTCCTTCCAGTGAGGTCGTCAAGGCCCCTTTTGGAACCTTCTCTCACTCAAAAGAGACTCCTTGAGAAGAGACATCCTCGAGACCATCCTCAAGATAGGACTTTTGGGGTCTCCTAACTTAAAAGATTAAGTTTTTCAGATGGGGAAAGGACTTTTGGGGTCTCCTAACTTAAAAGATTAGTTTTTCAGATGGGGAAGCTGAGACCTATAAAGGTCAGGGATTTGTTCTCCCAACCTGAGACTCCTTCAGTCATTTTTTTTTTTTCCATTCCCTTAACAGATGCTTATCAAAAGCCCACTTTGTACCAGATCCTAGATGCTGGGGATACAGCAGGGAACAAAACAGGGATTCCTGCCCTCAGGAAGCTTCTGTTTAGTGGAGGGGGACAGGCAATAAGCACAAAATAAGCAAAAATAAAAAAAAAAATTGTGTTTGTGAGTATGTGTGTGTGTGTGAACGTGAGGGTGCTAAGGCATAAGGGTCAGCACTGGAAGTGCTGTTGGGAAGGGGACTGTTGAGGAAGGACCCTGGACAGCCCTTATGGCTCTGCTGCACGCTACAGTCCATTGTGACAGGGTTTCTGGGGTTCTAGAGTGCAAGCCCGAGGAGGGCAGGAGAAGTCCTGGAGAAGCAGGAGGAGGAAAAGGACTGAAGTGGGATTTAGTGGGTGGGCTGTGCCCCCCTGGGGGGGCAGAGAAGCCCGATGGGTCAGAAAGGCCATAAAGACTCCCTTTATTCTTGTGAGAGGTAAGATCAGTTTGTTCCTGAGACTTCCTCGCCCTCCATCCTCTGCTCCCCCCCAGCCCTCTCCCTCAGATCTCAGATGACACCCCCATTCTACTCTCCTCCCACCTTTAAGAACATTGAGAGGGGGGCCAAATTGTCTTTGTGTCCCAGTACAGCCTGGACAAACTCGTGACAAGCCCCCATGGCCCCCCAGGCCCTGTGGGGCTCTGTCCCAGCCTCGAGCGGGGCGTGAGGTCTCCTGGTCACTGTGCGTCTCTCCCGGCAGGACTTCTGTGAGCAGCCTCCATGAGGCCCTGGACCAGTGCATGATCGCCCTGGACCTCTTCCTCACCAACCAGTTCTCGGAAGCACTCAGCTACCTCAAGCCCAGGTGAGGCTTAAGCCCAGGTTGAGGTGGGGCCCGGGGCGTGTGTGTGTTCACTGCACACATACGCATACTCAGGAGCCCACGTTTAGTGTCGGGATGGGGGTGTCTGGTCATGGAGAACCAGAGGTCTTGTGTAAGAGGAACCCCGTGTAACTGACTGCCCTCAGCCTCCTGGGTCGCCGTGACCCCTGAGAGTCCCATAAAAGCAGGGGCCCAGGCTCCCCACTCTATAGTCCTGGGCAGCCAGGCCCTCCCTGAGGTCACTGTGACTTCCTTCCTTTTAGGCTCTTGTGGCCTCTTCTACTTTGATTTCTTGTTCCCACTGAATCCGTTGGGGTTTCTCCCCCGTCAGCTCTAACACAGCTGCTTTTCCTCATTTTTCCCCAAAAGACTAAAGATTTGAATTGCCTTTACTCAAGCCCTTTAGGGTAGTAGTGTTGGTTAGTCATTTAGCCATTGCTTCCAGTGTTTACTGCCTTATTTCTAAATAATATTCTTATACCGCTCTTCCTTTATCATTTTTTTCCAGTTTTTTAAAGGCAATATGAAATAGAATTCATACACCACAAAATTCTTTTTATTTTTTTTAACCTTTTACTTTTATTTATTTATTTTTTAAAGATTTTATTTATTCATGAGAGACACAGAGAGAGAGAGAGAGAGAGGCAGAGACACAGGCAGAGGGAGAAGCAGGTCCATGCAGGGAGCGTGATGTGGGACTTGATCCCGGGTCTCCAGGATCATGCCCTGGGCCAAAGGCAGGCGCTAAACCGCTGAGCCACCCAGAGATCCCCACCTTTTACTTTTAAACATCTACTGGTAGACAAGAATTTAGCTTTCTTATCCCCCTGCCCTACTTCCCTTCCTTCATCCTCCTCTCACAATTGTATCACAGTATCTGGCTAAATCAGTAACATTTACGTTGTTGTAATTAGATAACTGATGCTCATTGCAAAGACAAGTCACACATTGTAGACTACATTCCCTTTCTGGAGTTAATAATTGTCTTCTTTTGCCTAATGTGCTATACATTTATCCTGAAGTCTTTATAACCTTTTTCCTGGAAACCTGTCCTCTGGAAGATGGATGTGTCTATCGGCCACCTCCCTTCTGTCTCCTGGAACTCCCTTTCCTTCTCTCTTTTTTCCTTGACCTGGGTTTTTTCTGGCATCCTCTCTTATTTTACCAAAGCATGTCCTCCAGAAACTTCCAAGGAAGGAGTTGCATAAATGTAACTTTCCCCCCTCAGAATTTCAAAGGCATTGCATCCCTGTTTTCTAGCATCTACTGTAGCCGTGGGAACCCTACTTTCTTCTAACATTGCATGTGATCATTTTTTCTTCTCTAGAAATGTTTAGAATCCTTTCTTTTGTTCTCACAAATCTGAAACTTCACAATGATGTGCTGAAATATAGGTCTTTTATTTGGAGAGTGCCTTTTGGTTCTAGGATATTCTCTTGCATGACCCTTCCATGTTCTGTCTCCCTTTCCCAGGTTTTCTTTAAGTCAAACACTGGACCTCCTGGATCAGTCCTCTTCTAAGCCTTCTGACTTACCTCCAATTTTGCATTTCTTTCTCTTTTTGTTTTCTCTTATTTGGGGGAAATTTCTTCAACCTTATCATGAAATCCTTCTATTTTTTTTTTAATTTTTTTTATTTGTTTATGATAGTTACAGAGAGAGAGAGAGAGAGGCAGAGACACAGGCAGAGGGAGAAGCAGGCTCCATGCACCGGGAGCCCGACGTGGGATTCGATCCCGGGTCTCCAGGATCGCGCCCTGGGCCAAAGGCAGGCGCCGAACCGCTGCGCCACCCAGGGATCCCATGAAATCCTTCTATTGAGTTAGAAGAGATCCTTCTTTTTTCTTTTCCTCTGTGATCATATGATTAATTTCCTCATGCTCCTTGTTCTCTGAATGTTCTCTAAAACATCTTATTTTTGGCTTATGGATGTACCCTGTTCTTTATGTCTACTTTTGAAATATGGGAGTCCTTAGGATAGAGCCTGGCATACAGTAAGCATGCTAGTAAATATTTGTTATTATCACAGGATGTTGTCTCTTAAACATTTTTTCTCCACTACTCTTGGCTTTCTCTAGGTTCCCTTCTTCTGTGTAATGGGGGGATCTTCTGGTGGGGGCTTTCCTCCAGTGCCTGATGGCCCCTGGTTGTCTGGTTATATTTAAGAGCAAGTTCTCGGCCTTGTAGTTGATGGGTTTGGTTTCTGGATGTGGGGGGAGGTGGGCAAGAAAGGTGGCACAGAGGAACCTGCTTAGGGACAGAATGAGCAAAAGGGAGGCACCTGGATGCTTGGCCTTGTAATTGGTGGGATTGGCTTTTGGATGACCTGTCTCCAGATGTCAGCTTCTCCAAGGAATATTCCTCTGTTCCTCACCACGGTCACAGAACCTCTGGCTGCCTGAATTCTGGGATTGGGATAGGGGTGAGGGGCCAAGAGGCTAATCATGTCTGGTGCCTACTTGCCTAACCCCTTCTTTTTAGTTCTAGGTTGTGGTTGTCCTCTGCCTCATCTGGTTCCTTCAGGTTCCCCGGGAAAGCAAATGCTGAGTCAGGGGAACTGCTTTCCCCAAGTTTCCAAGCCTGACCTGTTCAATTTCTCCTGTCTGGGGTCAGTGGCCCAGCCTCTGGGGGATGGTGTGGATTCCAGCATGAGTCTTATGATGATCCCTCTGCAGCAGGCCTGAAACCTCATCCCCAGCCTCTTAAGGGGTCTGGGTTTGAGGTGGGGCCGGGGCAGCTCTGCAGCAAGAGTGAGGTAGGCCATGCTCCACCCTGTTCCATCCCTGAACATCTGGGTTCCCCTCCAAGTATTTTTGGAAGACTCCTCAGCTCCACTTCCCTTCTGGTCATTACCTATAACTAAGCAGACCCCTCCCTGCCACCTCTCTGGACCCTTGCACACCCTCTCCTCACAGCCTCCTTGTCCCCTTGTATTGAGGGGCTGCCTCACCCTCCCTGACCTCAAGAGGGCACTCTACCAGGAGTCCCACAACTGGGGGTGGGGGTCGGGGGCGGCAGAGAGGAAATACTTGCCCCAAAGGAGGCAGTACCAAGACACCAGTCTTCCCATGAGACTACCTTTTAACTTCATGCTTAAGGCAGTGAAGCTGCTCCTTCCTTATCTTAACCCCTGTCCCATTCCAGAAAAGAATGCTTCCTTTGTCTTTCAGTTTAAGAGAGTTCTCTCCAAACAGTAGATGGTGTTAGCACACTCCCCACCCACATCCCCATTTTGACAACCAAAAATTCTTTCTTTCAAGTTATTGCCAGATGCTGGGGGAAGGGGGACAGGAAAAATCTCTCTCCATCTTTATTAAGAACTACTGGTCTAGGGGAAATAATTCTTGCTAAAAAATAGCCGCCTTTCCTCATTTATAGCCATCAAAGCTACAAAAGATGTTGAGGTCCAGTTTCATTCACATTCCTCCTTGTGCACGCAAGTGTCTCATTTCATTGTTCTCCATACTTTGCCCTCAGGGAATAACGGGCTCATCAAGTTCCATCCCTCATCCCCCCAGCCTGGGCATTTGTTTTCTGTCTTTGCCACTTCTTTGAGTAACTTCTAGTTTATTTTACTATGCTGCTAGTAAAGGAGGGAAGGGCTGGAGGCCACTAGGCTCAGGTGACCTCCACATGGCCAAGGAGTCCCAAGTCCCAACACCCTGCCCTCTGATGGCTCTTCCAGTGCCCTCTCCAACTTGACAGCTGGTCTGGGCCTAGAAGGTAGGATGCCAGTGGGCATCCTGTCCCAGAGCTGAGTTTGCCTCAGAGGTGAGGGGACTCTTACTCTCAGGGGTCAGGATTGTATAAGCAAACAAGAACTTGTGGGTTGTAAGTTAACCTTGGGGTGTCTGAGGTTTGGAGAGTTGTTCTACCTGTCTACGGGCTTACCACATTGCACTTCACAGATACTGCATTTGTTATAAATCAAAGGTTTATGGCAACCCTGCATCACGCAAATCTCTTGGCACCATTTTTCCAACCTTTACTCACTTTGTGTCACATTTTGGTAATCCTTGCAATATCTCAAACTTTCCCATTAGTATTATTTTTGTTATGGTGATCTGTGATCAGTGATCTTTGATGTTACTATTGTAATTGTTTCTGGCTGCCACCATGTAAGGAAACGAACTTAATCAGTAAATGTGTGCATTCTGACTGGTCCATTGACCAGCTGTTCCCCCCTCTCTATCCATCCGTCTCCTTGGGCCTATTCCCTGAGAGACAACAATATTAAAATTAGGCCAATTAATATCCTGCTGTGGCCCCTGAGTGTTCAAGTGAGAGGAAGAGTTGCACGTCTCTCTCTTTAAATCAAAAGCTAGAAATGACCAACCTTAGTGAGGAAGGCTTTTTTTTTTTTTTTTTAAGATTTTACTTATTTATTCATGAGAATACACAGAGAGGAGAGAGAGAGAGAGGCAGAGACACAGGGAGAGGGAGAAACAGGCTCCATTCAGGGAGCCCGACTTGGGACTCCAGGATCATGCCCTGGGCTGTAGGCGGTGCTAAACCGCTGCGCCACCGGGGCTGCCCCCCCCCCCCCAGGAAGGCTTTTAAATCAAAACCCAAGACAGGCTGGAAGGTAGGCCTCTTGCACCAAACAGCCAACTTGTGAAGGCAAAGGCAAAGTTCCTGAAGGAAATTAAGAGTGCTACCCCAGTGAACACACAAATGATTAGAAAGTAAAACAGCCTTATTACTGATACAGAGAAAGCGTGAGTGGGCTGGATAGATCAAATCAGCCACAACCTTGCCTTACGCTAAAACCCAATCCAGAGCAAGGCCCTAGCTCTCTCCAATTCTGTGAGGCTGAGAGAGGTCAGGAAGCTGCAGCAGAAAAGCTGGAAGCTATCAGAGGTGGGTTCCTGAGGTTGAAGGAAAGAAGCCATCTCCATAACATAGAAGGTGAAGCAGCAAGTGCTGGTAGAAACTGCAGCAGGTTAACCAGAAACTCTGGCTCAGATCGTTAATGAAAGTGGCTGCCCTAAACAACAGATTTTCAGCGTCAATGAAATGGCCTTATAGTAGAAGATGCCATCTAGGACTTCACAGCTAGAGGGGGGATCGGTGCCTGGCTTAAAGCTTACAAGAACAGGCTGGCTCTCTCTTCAGGAGCTAATGCAGCTGGGGACTTCAGGGTGAAGCCTGTGCTCCTTTACCACTTGGAGAATCCTAGGGCTCTTAAGAATTACGCTAAATCTCTTCTCCCTGTGCTCTTTTAGTTGAACAACAAAGCATGCCTGTTACAACATGGTTTACTGAATATTTTAAGCTCAGTGTTAAGACCCACTGCTCAGAAAAAAAGATTCCTTTCAAAATACTCCTGTTCATTGACAGTGCATCTGGTCACCCAAGAGCTCTGATGGAGTTGCAGTGAGATGAATGTTGTTTTCATGTCTGCTAACAACACAATATCCATTCTGTGTCCCATGGGTTCAAAGAGTCACTTTGACTTTCAAGTCTTGTCACTTAAGAAGTCTGTTCCATAAAGCTATAGCTGCCATCGAGAGTGATTCCTCTGATGGATCTGGGCAAAGTAAATTGAAACTCTAGAAAGTACTCACCATGCTAGATGCTAGTAAGAACTTTGTGATTCATGGGAAGAGGTCACAGTATCAACATCAGCAGAAGTTTGGAAGAAATTGATTCCAACCCTCATGGATGACTTTGAGTGGTTCAAGACTTCAGGGGATGGGTAGCCCTGGTGGTGCAGTGGTTTAGCGCTGCCTGCAGCCCGGGGTGTGATCCTGGAGACCCGGGATCGAGTCCCACATCGGGCTTCCTGCATGGAGCCTGCTTCTCCCTCTGCCTGTGTCTCTGCCTCTCTCTCGCTGTCTCTGAATGAATGAATAAATAAATCTTAAAAAAAAAAAAACAACAGGACTTTAGGAGAGGAAATAACTGCAGATGGGGTGGAAGGAGCAAGAGAATCAGAAGTAGAGCCTGCAGATGTGACTGCACGGCTGCCATCTCAGGATAAAACTTGAGCGGATGAGAAGTTCCATCTATGGATGAGCAAGGAAGGTGGTTCCTTTTCTTTTCTTTTCTTTTTTTTAAGATTTTATTTATTTGAGAGAGAGAGAGAGCATGAGCAGGGAGCGGGACACAGGGAGAGGGAGAGGGAGAAGCAAACTCTCCACTGAGCAGGGAGCCCGGCATGGGATCAGGACCTGAGCCCAAGGCAGACGCTTAACCAACCAAGCCACACAGGCATCCCAAAGAAGGTGGTTTCTTGAGATGGAACCTACTCCTGGTGAAGATGTTGTGAAGATTGTTGAAATTACAACAAAGGATTTTGAATATTACATAAACTTAGTTGATAAAGCAGAAGCAGCATTTGAGAAGATTGACTCCAATTCTGAAAGAAGTTCTGTGGGTAAGATGCTGTCAAGCAGCATCACATGCTACAGAGGAATTGTTTATGAAAGCAGGAGGCCATCAGTGGAGAAAACTTGGTTGTTGTCTTACATGAAGAAATTGCCACAGCTAACCCATCCTCCTGTGACTGCCACCCTATCAGTCAGCAGCCACGGACATCAAGGCAGGATCCTTCACCAGCAAAAAGATCTCAGCTCCCTGAAATGTCAGGTGACGGTTAGCATTTTGTAGCAGTAAAGTATCTTTTAATTAAGGTATGTAGTTTTTTAGACATAATGCTGTTGTACACTCTGGACATAATGCTATTGCAGACTTAATTAGACTTCACTTCTGTGTGCATAGGGAGACCAGAAATTCACTTGACTTGCTACATCGCAATATGCATTTTATTGCCGTGGTCTGGAACCAGACTGGCGCTAGCTCCGATGCAGGCTGTACCACACGTCTCAGTCCAGAACGTGGTTGAGGGGCTTCCAGTGGTGGGCTGGGGAGGAGCCAGGATTCCCAGCTGCAGGTGCATGTTGGGGCATTGGGCCTCAAACTAGAAATCCCGCTTTGCCTGCCAGCTGCCTAGGCAGGGCTGTCCCTCCTGGGCCTAGCACCAGCCTGGGGGAGTGAGGCTGAGCCTCCAGCCTCCCTGGTGTGAGGAAAAAAGGGGCAGGGGCTTGAGAACTGGAGAGACCTGGAACCCTGGAACGGGAGGTGATTAACTGGTGCGGGGACTGAGGGGGGGTGGGGATCTGGATACTGCCAGGGAACCTCTCCTGAGGGAGAGAGTGTATTCAGGGCAGTGACCCTTGACCCTGGCAGACACAGAAGGACTTGCATTTTTTTAGCACCAGCCATGTGGCCCTGGCCGTGCTGTGCTATTTAAGCCACTCAGAGTCCTGGGTGAGGAGGATTATTGTATCCATTTTACAGAGGAAGGACTTGAGGCTCAGAGAGGTTTCACCTTCACCAGGATCGCACAGCTGGTCACTGGCAACCACGGTTTCAGCCTGTTTCATGGACTCTGACGCCTGAGTTCTGTCCCCACTTCAGGCTGTGGCCTCCTTTCCACAAGGCAAAGTTCTGATGAAGACCCAGGAGGTGTCCTGACAGCTGCCAGGACTGATGAAGGGTGGACCAGCCTTTGGTTTCCTTTAAAACCTTTGACTCCACAGGATAATAGCACCTGGGAGGAGGGTCACCCAGAAATTAAAAAACAATTTACAAAAGGTCTTTAATTTTACAGAGAGTTTTATGAATGAGAAGGCATGGAAATGGGTAAAGTCACATGATTTGACAATAGGACAGTTTGTAAACCTTAGTTATCTCTTTCCCCTGAAGCTCAGCATAAGCCCTGCCCTGAGAAGTTTTGTAAATAATTAACGAGGGGGTGTCCTGCCGTCCTGGTCCTGCCTGGTCCTGCCGGGAGTGAAAGTTGCTGTTGCACCTACTGTGTGACCAGCAAGAGTGATCCCCAGCCAGTCCCTCAGGGGCCTGGGCAGGTCAGCATTATTGTCCCCACTTTGCAGAAGTATAAGTCAAGGCCCAGGCATGTCGTGACTTGCCCAAGTGCAGAGGAGGACCTGCATGTTTCTTGTCCCTCCTTGCCTGCTTCTCTTTCCATGTGTTAGACTGAACACCACCCCCTGCCCCCCCACCTCCCCCCCCCAACCATATACCCATATACTTTTCGGTTGAGAGGCCTGGACGGGGGAGCAGCAGGATGGCAGGAGCAAGAGGCTTCCCAAGCGAGGCTGGCTCCAGGCCTCCAGCGCTGGTGCTGAGGACGGTGGCGCCCACATGGCCTCGGTCCTTGGGCCCGTGGCTCAGTGCGAGGAGGGCGCGGGGCCTCTGCTGGTATCAATTTCAGCAGGACATGTGCCTTGGAGGCAGCTCGGGGCCTTGACAAGATATGTTGGGGCTGTAGGAGCAGGGCAAGGGCATTTCAAGTTGGGGGAACAGCATGGGCAAAGGCCAAGGGGAGGGAAAGTATGGGAGTTTCTTGAGAGCATGTGTCTCAGTGTGACAAGAGGTACTGTCTTGACCTGGACCAGGTGTCAGGGCAGAAGTAAAAGTGACAAGCAGGTGGGGCTGGAGAGGTGGGTGGGATCTGTGCTGTGTGGAGCCTTGGGCTCAGGCACTCCCCCAGGGGGTGTGAAACCCCCTGGGGGCATACAGGAGGGGGGCATACAGGACTGCGGCCTGGGCAGAGAGTGGGATGGGGGAGAGGGGGGGTGCGGCCAGTGAGGCCACGGAAGGAGGTGGGGCAAGGCCGGGGGGGGGGGGGCAGGGTGGGGAAGGGGAGCTTGAGGACAGATGGATTTGGGCTCTTCCCCGAGAGGTGGGGCAGGAGGCGGTCCCTGGGGGCTAGAGGCACCCCTCAGGTCGACACCCTGCTAAGGCCCTTCTAGGGGCCTCATGACAGCCTTGCTGCCATCCCTGCAGAGTGGATGAGAGAGTGAGGCCCAGAGTTGGAAAGTCACTTGGTGCCACTCAGCAGGAAGGAGCAGAGCTGGGGTCCGAGGCCTTTGGAGCAGCAGTGGAAGGGTCAGAGCTTGGGAGGGGGACCCTTTCCCATCCCCTTGGGAGGTTACGGGGGTGCTGCCTCTGTGGCACTGGGGGTGCTCTCACGTCCCTTCTCTCCGGCAGAACCAAGGAGAGCATGTACCACTCACTGACGTATGCCACTATCCTGGAGATGCAGGCCATGATGACTTTTGACCCTCAGGACATCCTGCTGGCTGGCAACATGATGAAGGAGGCGCAGACGCTGTGTCAGAGGTCAGGGCGGCTGGGCAGGGGTGAGGGGGGTGAGGCCCCTCCTCTTGTGACCTCGGCCTATCCCAGTGCCTGAAATACCAGTTAAAGATGTTAAAGATGGCTGTGAGGACCTGTCCCTGTCAGCTCTGCCCCGGGGGCCCTGTCTGAGCCAGGCTCTCAGCCACTTCCAGGGACCAGGCCTAATTCTGTGGCGGTGGGTGCTGGCCCTGTCACATGATGACTCTGATCTCGGGCAAGTGTCTCTCTGGACTCTCCGCTCTTCGTATATGAAGTGGGTGTAAGGGCAGGGCCTGCGTGGGGCTGCAGGAAGCCTGGGTCGCGGCCCAGCACCCGACTGGTGTCCGCTCACATAAGCTGCTTGCAGGCCTCCACAGATGAGGCAATGAATGGGTACGCCCTCAGGGTTCGGGCGCAGGTGGGCCCAGGGCTTAGGCCAGCCCCCCGGGGCTGCGGGAGCAGCGGGGGGGGGGGGGGGGGGTTCTTGCCGAAGGAGCAGGATAGGTTTCCTGGAGGAGGCATTGCTGCAGCGGGTCCTCAGGGGACACTGGCTGGGGCAGGGGAAGGTGGGGCGGGGCTCCACCCTGACCCGGGGTGCTTGCCAGGTCCGTGCGTGTGGAGCCCCATGGGAAGGGTGGGAGATGCGCCTGAGCCTGCACCCCCACTCTCATCCCCACCCGCTGCCCCACCCCCATTCCCACCCATACCCCGACCCACTCCCCCACTTGCTCCTGCACCCCCTCCCCGACCCGTTTCCCCACCCACACCCCAACCTGCTCCCCCACTGCACTCCAACCCATTCTCCAACCTGTACCCCGACTGCCCCCCAACCCACTCCCCAACCTGCTCCCCCACCCCTACCCGCTCCCCACCCCCATCCCCACCCTGACCCACTCCCCACCCCCACCTGCACTCCCACTCACTCTCACACCCCCACCCCCACCTGCACCCTGACCCGCTCCCCCACCCTCACCCCCACTCGCTCCCCCACCCACACCCCGGGCTCCTGGGCTCCTGGCTCACACTCACCCAATGACTGGAGGCCCCCTCTTTCCTCTTTAGGCACCGGAAGAAGTCCTCTGTAACAGATTCCTTCAGCAACCTGGTGCACCGCCCCACTATGGACCAGTTCACGGAAGGTGCGGCCTCTGATGTCCCCTCAACCCCACTGATTCTGACTCCCTTTGCTGTTTGGGAAGTGGGGTGGGGAGGATCTGGTCCATGCTGCCTGCCCAAGCGTCCCAGGAGGCCTCAGGGCTCTGGTTTTCTCCTTGCAGAGGAAATCCATGCTGAGGTGTGCTATGCAGAGTGCCTGCTGCAGAGAGCAGCTCTGACCTTCCTGCAGGTAGGACCCCTCTCCCAGGACGCAGCTGGGATTGCGCATCAGGCCCCATCTCCAAGCCAGAGGGCTCCCTGTGGTTCAGGGAGGACTGAGGCTCAGTGGCCCCAGCGCTCCCCGCCCTGGCCCAGCTCAGTGGCAGCAGTGACGGGCTTTACCCCCTCCACACTGGGCATGCGTGCCACGCATGCCCCGTTCTCTAGTAGGATGCGCATCCCCGCATGACCACCGTTTTCCTCCCAAGGGCATGCGGGGTGACAGGCATTAGCACGAAGCCTGCTCTACGCTTGCTTGATTCATTCGACAAGCAAGTTTGAATGGATCAAATGCGTGTCTGCGACCTCCCAGGCCTCGTGTGTACATTTGGCTAAGTGGTTTTACGTACCTCACACACTTTGCATGTTTGTGTTTTACATAAATTTACATCGATTATTAAAGCTTCACCTCACAGGCCTGCAAAGGGGAGGATTAGAGAGGAGAAGCCACTTTCACAGGGTCATCTGATCAGCGGCTGGCAGAGCTGGGATTTGAACGCAGGTCAATTTGGAATCTGTGCTCCTTACCACACAGTGGTAATTCCAGGAACCATCACCTCGTGGTTTCACCCGCAAGCCTGGCTTATAATATACAGTCATCATGTAAATATGCATATTGAATGTTATTATTGGGGTACTATTTATTTTTGTTAGCTGTCTTTCTATCTCTTTGTACCTCGGGTAATTAGAATTGGATTACTCCCAATTCTCATTAGGATCACTCTTAATAACTGCACTGTGAGTGGCCTTTTATGTATCTGCATGCTCTAGCACGCATAGTGAACAGCGCCCACAAGTACCCCCACCTAACCAGAGAACAGAGCATTGCTAGCAAGTCTCCTGGCCCTCCAGGCTCCTCCCCACCCTGTCCCCTGCCTCCCTTCATGGGGAACCCACTGCCTACAGTTCTATCATCCCTCACCCTTTTTTTTTTTTAAGATTTTATTTATTTATTCATGAGAGACAGAGAGAGAGAGGCAGAGACACAGTCAGACAGAGAAGCAGGCTGCATGCAGGGAGCCTGGTGTGGGACTTGAACTTGGGAATCCGGGATCACTCCTTGAGCTAAAGGCAGACACTCAACTGCTGAGCCACCCAGTTGTCTCATCACCCTATTTTTTAAAAAATAGTTTTCTTAGCTTCCTCGTCCCGTCTGAGCAGCATATTGTTATGTGTTAGTTGGCTTCAAGCTTCTTACGGCCTCGAGCTGTGTGGGGCTTGCTTTCTTTACCCAACCTTATGTGGTTGTATAATAGTCCCTTCCATGAATATAGCAGTTCATTCATCCATCCTCCTGCTGAAGGGCATTTGGGTTGTTTCTGGTTGGCTGCTATAGACACTGGTGCTGTGAAATTTTTTTTTTTTTTTTTTTTTTTTGCTGTGAACATTCTTGAGGGGGATTCCGCACCCTGTGTTCATCCGTTTCTCTTGGGTGGAGCCCCAGGAATGGAACCCTAGGTGGGCTATAGTGCCGTGCCCGCTGAGCAGGGAGCCTGCTGTGGGGCTCCATCCCAGGACTCTGGGATCAGGACCTGAGCTGAAGGCAGATATCAACAGAGCCACCCAGGTGCCCGGAATTGGTGCTTTAAATTACAAATGTGATAAATAGCTGCTTGTTGTAAAAAAAACACTAAAGTTCCCAAACAGGAGCATCCCTCTTGCTTTCGCACAGTTACTTCACCTAGGGGAGCACCTCCTCCAGGCCCTTCTACAAGGACTTAGCATAGGTACCTGTGAGGCTGGGATCGAGGCCTGGGCATTTTGGAGGTCTCATTTGGCACGGAAACCCTTATCTCGAGTCCCAAGGGTTAGGGAGGCCTGGTTTGTCTAACCCCTGACTCCATCCCCACCCCGAACTCCTTCTAGAGCTGGACCCAAGGTGGGGCAGGCCAGGCCGGGAGCCTTGTATGATCCCTCTCCAGCCTGTGGCTCCTCACCCAGGCCTGGCTCTTAGCATCTCTCCCTCCTGCAGGACGAGAACATGGTGAGCTTCATCAAGGGTGGCATCAAAGTTCGAAACAGCTACCAGACCTACAAGTGAGTGGGCCTGGCTCCGGGGGGCCTGGGGTCGCAGCACCTAGCATCCTGTGCCCCCCCCCCCCCCAGGCTACTTTGTGGAGGGTTGAGAGCCTTGCTGGAGGCTGGAAGCTGAGAATGCCATGCGGCCTCAGGCAGATTCTGTACCTTCAGGTCCTCAGTTTTCCAGGATATTACTCCCCTGGTTTTCTGGGTTTATCTGTTCATTTGGTTCCCTAGAGTCTATGCCAGGCCCCAAACAGGGGAAAAGAAGACACATTCTGCACAGTCAGCTTGGTGTGGTGGGGGCTAGGAGGCAGGCACAACGGCAGACCCCCACGCATCTGGTAAGGCCCATCAATCCATTGCCACATCCCCCACAACATGCTCCCTGGGGGAAGGGCTAGCGCACAGGGATGGCATCCACACATGTTTACACCCTCCAAGGGCCACGCCATTTCCCCGCCATCTCAGCACTGGGCCAGCCAGAGGCCTTGTTTTTGGATGAAGGAAATAAGACTCAGTCTGAACACTTCTGCTTAACATGGCACCACAGTCCTTATCTGCAATCCCAAAATCACAAAAGCTTTGAAAGCCAGTGTCTTCCTTCAAGTTTGGCATTAAAACTCATTTTCTGTTAAAAGTTGACTTGAATTGACTTGAGACTATGTATCATCTTATTTTCCGCATCTGATGTGCCTGTTTCCCTCCAGAGATATTGTGAGTTCGAGTCAGGGCACTGCTGGGGCAGAACCAGCACGCGGCCTGTGGACACCTCATTACCTGTGGGTCTGTGCTGGCCTCGTGCTGTCCCCTGCAGTCCCCTCCAGCCCCCTCCAGCTGCCGGAGCACAAACCTTGTCAGGTCACCCCCTACCAGTTCCCGCTGCTCCTCTTGCTCTTAGTCCCAGGTCATTGCTGAGTCATTCTGGGAGCTCCTCCTGCCCTCCTCACAGTATCTTCCACCCCGCTCTGCCTCAGCCAGTTGGGTCTTGCTTCCAGTTCTTCAAACAGGCCAAGCTCATTGCTGCTTTGGGGCTTTGGGACATGTTGCGCCTCTGCCAGGAACACTCTATGCCAGGCCAACCCTCCTCATCCCTAGAGTTTCAGCTCAAATGTCAGCTTCTCAGGGAGATCTTCTCTGAACCCCAGACTAGGTCAGGCCCCAGGAGTCTTCTCCTTTGAGGCCTCTCTTACCCTCCCAGTGACTTGATGGGGGTCTGTCCCCTAGAGTGGGAGAGCTGTGAGGGCAGCAGCGTGGGAGCCCAAGCTCCTTTCCAGGCCTGGCACAGAGAGGCCTGTCTGCATTTGCTGACTGAAAGCCCTCAAGATGCCTGTGGCCCCAGGAAGGAGGCAGGCACATCTTTAAAGCCTCTGTTCTGCCCCAGCTGGGCTGGAATATGGATTCTGTGCAACTGATGACGAGGAAAAAAGAGGGTTGGATTTCTTTTTTCTTTTCTTTTCTTTTCTTTTCTTTTCTATTCTTTTCTTTTCTTTTCTTTCTTTCTTTTTTTTTTTTTTTGAGGGTTGGATTTCCACCAAGAGCCCAGGTAGACTTCTTGAAGGACAGGGTGTTGGAGTTTGCCCAGTGGCTTTTCATTGGGACATTTGGCAATATTGGGAGACATTGGGTAGTGACAACCTTGGGAGAGGTTGCTCCTGGCATCTAGTGGGTGGATGCCAGAGATGCTCCTAAGCATCCCACAGTATGCAGACAGCCCCCCACTTCCACCTGAATGAAGAATATATCCAGCCTAAAATGTCAGTAGTGCCAAAGAAACTGTTCTAGAGAGAACGCAGAGCATGTGCAAATGCCTAGACATTGGGCAGGGCAGGTGTGCTGGGGCTCATAAGGTTGACATTCAGGAGTAGGTTGTTATGCGGATGGGACTAAGAAGTCCTCAGGTATCCGCTCTCTGGATTGCCAGAACTGTTATCAGTCTAGGGGGTTCTGAGACCAGCTAGGCGTGGGGGGCAAGCTCAGCCCCAGCTGGAATGAGACCCAGCCCCCCTGCTCTGGGGCTGCAACAAGACTCTACCTCTCTGCACAGGGAGCTGGACAACCTTGTCCAGTCCTCACAGTACTGCAAGGGAGAGAACCACAGACACTTCGAAGGAGGCGTGAAGCTCGGTGTGGGAGCCTTCAACCTGGTGAGTGGGCGTCCCTCAACGTGCAAGCTCTGCTGGCCTGTGGTTCTGGGCCCCATGCTGTCCGGGGACCCAGCAGTAAAGCAGACAGGCTGCCAGCCTAGAATGCTCAGAGCTGGGCTGCGGGGCAAGGGGGTACTGGCTTCCCAAGTCAAGTTGAGAGCTTGAAATGTGCCATGGGGGTGTTATTTATAGGACCAGAAAAAGACAAACATGATAAATCAGGGCCTTCTCTACCCTGTAGAACTGGTGGTTGGTTAAATAGTGACCAGTGGCAGGGAGAGGGAAGGGCCTGGAAGCAGTGGGCAGCCCACAGAAACGGAAAGCCAGGACCCCTTCCTGGGGGAGGTGGGGAAGGTTTCGTGGAGTGGGAAATGTTTGAGCTGGATCTTGGAGGATCTGTAGGCAGAGAAGGGCATTCAAGGCAGAAGGAAGTGTGTGAGCTAGGTGGGGAGGCTCTGAGGCCTATTCCTGGGAGGAGGAGTGGCTCATCAACAATTTAGGCTCCTGGCCCTGGGTGCCCAGAGCCCTATCCGAGGGTGCGTGGGTGGCAGGGCATGGCTGTCTTCCCTCTGGGGAAAGCCTGTTCTGAGAGCTTTGGAACCACATCCATGCCCCCATTCTGGGTTCCAGTTTCCTTGTATGTAAAATGGGAACAGTGACCTGGGCCCGAGTGCTGAGAGGTACAGAGTGCAGATGCGTCATCAGGTGCTTTAGCGTCAGAGCCCGGCTGTCTGGGTTTCAGAACTGGCTCCCCCTCTCATGATAAGTGACATGTCCTGTCACTTATCTCTGCCCGACTTTTTTCATCTGTCAAAGGGGGCAGTAATCTTTCTCTGCAGGACTGTTCTAAGGATCAAGTGTGATGACAGAGCAGGGGTCCAGTGTGACAACAATAGCTGTTGTGTGCAGACAACATGTATTGATTTGATCTATCCTCACAGTACCCCTAGGGTAGGGGCTAGTATTACTCCCAGATGAGGAAACTCAGGCAAAGAGAGGCTATGTAGCTTGCCCAGCGTGACCTAGCAGACAAGTGAGATTAGGATTTAGATACCGTTTGCTCCTGGTCGTCACACTGAGGTGCTTCTCTGTTGGGGGAAGTTGGCTCTGTGGGAAACCTCAGGCCTCCTTGTGGGCTTTCTGGAGATAGGTCCTGCCCCCCAGCATTACCCTGGGACTCTGGGGGTTTGGGGAGTGGAAGGGACAGTTCTCACCCCTCCACGTGCCCTGCTGCCTCTGTTCCTGCAGACGCTGTCCATGCTTCCTACCAGGATTCTGCGGCTGCTGGAGTTCGTGGGGTTTTCAGGGAACAAGGTAACCACCTGCCTTCTGGGACTCCTGACTGGCTCAGGGATAGGGGGCTGCCGGGCCTGTGTCAGTGTGCGGCTCTGCTCAAGGCCCAGGCCTCCTTGACTCAGTCTTCTCTCCAATCAAACGGGCCAGCGATCCCCGCCCAGCCCCCCACATAGGGTGAAGAGGCCCTTAGGGTAAGGGTGGCTGTGAAGGGTCGCTTCGAGCAGCAGCCTGGAGTCATGTTCTCTGAGCCTCACATGTGTCAGGAACCTGGTCCTCCTCCCTTTAGGAGGGCAGGTTCTTTCCCTGGGGACCATTTTCTTGCCTGGGAGTTGCCTAAGAGAAGCATCAGGCCTTGAGGGCAGAAGCCAGAGGACTCAAGCATCCAGAGGCTTTGCCAAAGGCAGGACCCTGAGTACTAGGTAGCAAGTTAGGGAGAGCTCCCCAGGGGAGACAGCCCCTGTGCTGGAGGGAACAGTGGCCTGGGGGTCAGGAGTCCTGGGTCAGTCCAGCCTCATCTCCTCCTCTGGACCTTTTTTGGGTAAAACAAGGGCCTTACTAACTTTTTTAGACTGATCAGTGTTTCTCAAGCTTAAACTTCCTCTGGCCTTTTCCTGATTTTTGCTATGTCTGCAGACCCCTATGTTATTATTTATGTATTACTTTTCCCCAAAACGGTGCCTATTTTTTACTTAAGTTTATCTAAAGGAAACACCTAGAACACCCATGTTATTTGGCAGGATAAGAACATAATCCTAGCCGTCAGCTCGCGAGAGCAGGCAGGGCAGCCTGCAAGGCCGTTTTCCCATGGGCAGAGGTGGCTAGGCCGTGGTGGTGAAGGGGCCCCAGTGCAGGACCGGGGCCTCCCCTGGGTCCCAGGCAGCCGAGGGCCGAGCACGAAAGCCCGCCCCCCACCCCCCCCACCCCCCCCCCCGGCCTGGAGACCTTCACAGTCTTGGTCCAGGTCCAGGGAAACACCGGCTAGAGGCTCTGAAGGCCCTTCTTAGTTTTTTCTTGAGAAGGCCCTTGAGTCCTGAGAAGGACTTCAGGAGGATGACAGGAGGGACAGGGTGGCCTGCCTGGCGCTGAGCCGCCATGGCAAGGCCCGAGTGGGCGAATCCGCTGGCTTCATCTTTGTCCTGAAAGTGAAGGAAGCTGTGGAGGGTTCGAGGCAGGGGTGACGTAGGTCAGATTTGTCCATTAGAAGGAAGGACAATGCCCCAGAGGACAGACTGGGGCAGGGAGCGTGGGCGGGGATACAGGGAGCATGGGGCCTCTCCTCCTCAGCCAGGCTCTGGATCCTTCTCCTCCAGGAAGCCTTCCCAGGTAAGTCTGGTTAGGGTTATCTGCCTCTGCCCCCCAGACCCAGGACTACCCAGGGCCTCCGTCCCCCCGTCCCCCACCATGGGGGCGCGCGGCAGAGTCCCCTGCGCCACCTCAGCCTGTGCGCCTCTCCCCCCAGGACTACGGGCTGCTGCAGCTGGAGGAGGGCGCGTCGGGGCACAGCTTCCGCGCTGTGCTCTGCGTCCTGCTGCTGCTCTGCTACCACACTTTCCTCACCTTCGTGCTCGGTAGGAGGCCCGGGGGAGCAGCCACCCGGACACCCCCATGCCTGCCCCTCCTCTGCCCGGCCTCACCTGGTGCCGGCCGCCTGCCTCAGTTTCCTCATGGGTGACGTGGGGGCGGCCGCGCTCGCCCTGTAGGGGAGCCAGGACCCTGCAGGCGGCCCCGGGGGTCTGGGCCCCACCCCGGCAGGTGTGGGCCTTGGTTATTGAGCCCCGGCCTGAGCGGGCCTTGTCCTCCGCACCCTCCCGCCTAACCCCCTCTCCCCCCCCCCCCCCCCCCCGCCCCGGGCGTAGAAGAATCATCCTCCCGTTTCACGGAGAGGAGGAGAGGAAACGAGGGGCCCCCGGCAGGGTGGTGACGGGAGCCAGTGGTGGGACGTGTGTGTGTCGTGGCCTCGCCTCCCTCAGGCACCGGCCACGTGAACGTGGAGGAAGCGGAGAAGCTCCTGCAGCCCTACCTGAAGCGGTACCCTAAGGTGAGCCCCGCCCTAGCCCCCCCCCTACGCCCTAGCCCCGCCCCAGAGCCTGCCCGGCGCCCTAGCCCCGCCCCCGGAGCCCTGCCCCGCCCCCTGCCCAGCGCGCAGCCCCCGCCCCTGGCCCCGCCCCGCCCCCTGCCCAGCGCGCAGCCCCCGCCCTGGCCCCGCCCCGCCCCTGCCCAGCGCGCAGCCCCGCCCCTGGCCCCGCCCCCGGAGCCCAGCCCCGCCGTCTGCGCAGCGCGCAGCCCCCGCCCCTGGCCCCGCCCCCTGCCCAGCGCGCAGCCCCGCCGCTGGCCCCGCCCCCGGAGCCCAGCCCCGCCGCCTGCCCTCGTGTCTCCGCAGGGCGCCATCTTCCTGTTCTTCGCCGGGCGGATTGAAGCCATTAAAGGCAATGTTGACACAGTGAGTGGTGCGGGGCCCCGGGGCCTCCCGGACCACCGAGTGGACAGGCCGGCGGGCACATTCGGGGAGGTGGGAGCCGTTCTGAAGGAGACCGTGTGCAGGGAGGAGGGAGGAGGTGGCGCTTGCGGCGGGCTCGCTGACAGGCAGGTGGAGGCCCCGCGGGAGTGTGAGCTGCGGACGCCCAGGGACAGGCACCGTGGGCGCAGCGGCGGGGCCCGCCCGTGAGGTTGGCGCCTTGCTGGGCTCGGGGGCCACCGGAGGTTCAGAGCGCGGCGGCGTCCCCGGGGGGGCCTGCGGGCTGGGGTTCCAGGGCCGCGGCGGCAGGACAGATGCCCGGGAGCTCCTGGGGCTCTGGAGGTGGCGCTGAGGCAGACGCCGGTCGCTCTGACGCCAGCCTCTCCCGCCTTTTCATTTTGTGCTCAAAGACTAGCATCCCACCGAGGGGCAGGGGCTGGGCGCAGGGTCTAGGAGTGGCACCCGGCGGGTGGGACAGGAGCGGAGCCAGGACCCCGTCCCCCGCCCCTCTCCCTCCGTGCCTCGTGGGGGGGGTGTGTGGCGCTGGGGGCTGACCGGCAGGTGCCCGCAGGCCATCCGGCGGTTCGAGGAGTGCTGCGAGGCCCAGCAGCACTGGAAGCAGTTCCACCACATGTGCTACTGGGAGCTGATGTGGTGCTTCACCTACAAGGGCCAGTGGAAGATGGCCTACTTCTACGCGGACTTGCTCAGCAAGGAGAACTCCTGGTCCAAGGTGGGCTGACACCTGGTGCTGGGCCACCTGGCCATGAGCCCCAGACCCAGGGCCACACCCCCAACTGAGAGCAGGTGACTCAAGCTGAAATTGAAAGGAAACCCTAAGTTCTAATAGGACTTGGGGTTGGTGGGAACCACAGACCGTGAGGAGCGGGCAAAGTTTAAAACTACAGGGTGTTAGTCAGGGTTTTTCATCCCAGGGAACAGAAGCATGCCCAGGTGCCCAGGTGAGCGCCGACCATAGAGCATTGTTCTGGTGAAGTCGGCCACCAGCTACAGGGGTGTAAGGAGCCCTGCGGTGAGCCAGTCCAACTGGGAAACAATGCTTTCAATTTTAATTCTAATTAGTTCAGATTTAAATTTAAAAAGTCACACAGGGGTAGTGGCCACGGTACTGGACTATGCAGGTTGAAAACACAAAAGGTTCACAGAACTGAAAAATTCTAGGCCCCACCGATTTCAGATAGGCTGGATCCAGGAATTTCAAATGGTGTCATCGTGGCGTGTTCTGCTCTGTGCAGTGCAGGCAGGTTTTCTTCTTGTGACAGACATGGCCATGGACTCACATCTTCCTTTTGGTTTCAGCCACAGTCACATAGTCGAGACTGCCTGGTCTGGCATAGATCCCCTGTCAGTGCTTGGAACCAGGGGCAGGAAAACTCCTCAGGGATCAAGGGTAGGAGAGGGGTGGTTCTCCGGGAAAAAATGAGGTGATGTTCCCAGAAAAAGTGTTGGTTGGTGGGGGAGCCATTAAAGAGAAGCCATGAAGGCAAAGTGGAGCAAAGCAGATGCCCAAAGTACGTGAAAACTTCCCCCCTCATGGTGAGTGGTGAGAGGAGTAGCGGCCATTTTCGTGGTGAGATAGCCCAGAATTTGAACCAATACTCAGGATTGGAGAGATTGGCAGGTGCGCACAGCGAGTGTCTGGGTGTCGGTGAGTCGCAATTTCTTGCCCCCCCCCCACCTTTTCAGTACCCTTCCTGGGGCCCAAGCTGCAGGGGAGTTCTTTGGGTTGGGGCAGGCTTCTGCTGAGCTTTTACTGTGGGCCCAGCACTTGCCTCCCCTCCACACCCGAAGAGGGAGTCCAAGAGAGGGTGTGTGGCTTTCCTGGGCCACGCAGCTGTTGGTGACAGACCCTGGATCTGAAGACCCTTCCTTGTGACTCAAAGGCCTTTGCTTGTCACTCGTCCCATAAGCCCCACTGAGGAGGCCCCTCTTGCCCTGAGACCACCCTGCTGTGGAAGGTGCTCCCTCAGAGGCAGCCCGGCGCGGGAGTTCATCCCTCTTCACCTCCCACCCCCAGCGGGGCCCACGGCCTCAGGAGACCTGGTTGGGAGCTGGAGCGGCAGCTGGGAAGGGAGGACAGGGTAGCTCACAGCTGCTGGGGCAGGGCCAGGCCTCGCAGGTGTCAGGAGGTCTGCCTGTGACTACGCTCTGGCTCTGCTCACTGTGACTTGGAGGTGGTCACCCCCCCATCACCTCTTCAGAAGTGCTTCCTGTGAAGTGGGGGGTATCCCCAACTCCTGGGGCCTCCTTCAATCCGCCCCGGTAGCACTTGGCCACCAGGCGCTGCCTCAGCGCAGAGCCTTCCGGGCCCAGGACGCTGAGGACGCAGTGGGGGTGACGGAAGCAGAGTGCATCCCACGGATTTGGGGAACAGCTGAGAGGCCAGTGCGGCCGAGCAGTGATGGGCGACAGGACGCCAAGGTGGCGCGGAGACAGGCGGGGCGGGGCGGGGCCTACGGCGCCTCCAGGGTCTCTGGGTTGCTAAACGTGAAGGCTGCGAGGATTCCAGACACGAGCTGACATGAGATCAGGGTGGCCCCTGGGCAGCTCTCCAGCTAGCGTCCGCTTGGGTTTGGCTCCGGTCACTGTCTCAGGGCCCCGGGGTGTGAGCGCACGTTGGCGCCGCGCTCAGCGCGGGCTCTGCCGCTCCTTCCCCGTCGCTCTGTTCAAAAAAGCCCAGGATGGTGCGGAAGTGGCTGGCGGGGCAGGAGCCCGGCAGGAGCGGAGCGGGAGGGAGAGGGCAGAGGAGACCAGCAGCCGGCACCGGGGAGCTGCCCCGCGCGCAGACTGCACGTCGGCATCCGCGGGGGGGGGGGGGGGGGGGTGTGCCTGGGGGACGGGTGTCCGAGGAGCGCCGCCTCCTCCGCTGCCCGCGGTCCGGGGTCCAGGCCCCCGAAGCCCCCAAACCCGGGGCCCCCTGCAGCTCTGCTCCGGCAAGCAGGCGATGCGTCCCCGGCTCGTGGGGAGGGGTCACCCCAGGGCCCTGCAGCTCTTCTGGCCTCTGTTGTCTCAGGCCGTCCGTACTTTATGCTGCCCGCTTGTCACCTTCTTAGACCCACGTTGGTGCCTCCCTGGCTTTGCTCAGCCTTTTTCTTGTCTGGAAGGTTCCTCCTCAGCTCTCTGAATCTTCCCATTGGGTCTAGTCTGAAGGGGGTGCGTCCCAGAAGCCCTTACTGCCCGGTCCTCCCGCGCCCCCTGGCTGAGCACTGCCCTGCACGCCCTGTAGATGTGGAGCCTCGACCGGAGCCCCTCCTGGGCGGGCTCCCAGCTCAAGTCCTCGGGGCGCCCCGCTGCCTCAGTCTCTGCCCTGGGGCTTGAATGTGGGGCTCGGCTGTGGGGCTGGCCTCGAGAGGTCCGGAGGGTGGGCGGCTTACACGTTGTCGTTGTGCTGTTGCTCTGCCGTGCACAGGCCACCTACATCTACATGAAGGCCGCCTACCTCAGCATGTTTGGAAAGGAGGATTATAAGCCGTTCGGGGATGATGAAGTGGAGTTGTTCAGGTGGGTCCTAGGCCGCAGCCACGTCTGCCCACAGCCACCCACGGCCATCCTGAGCTGTGGGCGGGGAGGGAGGTGGTGGGCTTCTTAACTCCCCGGGCTCTGAGCCGCGGGACTCTTCCCCAGGATGGCCCCACAGCCTCATGCCCTAGCATCACCCCACCTCTTGCTGCTTGTTCCAGCCCTTTCAGGCTGTTCAGAGTCCCTCCGCCCCATGAAAGTGGTTTGTCAGCATCCTTCCCACTGAGCCTTTCTTCTGGTCAGTGGGATAGATGTGGACACTGAGGTGCAGAGAGGTCCCTCCTGATTTCCCACCAGCCGGGAGAAGCACTGTAGGGAACCAAATGGAGTCCCACAAGATCACATCTAGCCTCTGCCATTTCTTAGTTGTGTCTCTGTGAGCAATTTCAGCAGCTGTGAAATGGGAATAACCACCTATGCCTTGCAGGGTTGTTTTGTGAATCAAATAGAACCTGCAAGAGCCTGGTGTAGGGCCTGGAGCCACGAAATGGCGCTGCAGTTTTCATTCTTATCTGTACTGCCCTTTGCCTTCTGGCGAAGGGTCTGGGCAAGGCTCAGCCTCAGCAGGCTCACGGTGGAGCCTTGGGCCTTCTGGTCAGGAGGGCTGCGCCCAGCTGGGAACCCTGCGCTTCCCACTAGTGCTGTCACAATCCTAGTGTGTCTCATTTACCAAGCGCCTCTACTTCATCTCAGTTCTTCCAGAAAGCCTGGAGGCTAAGTCTCTGGGGGGAGGAAGGATAATTTTCCCTTTACATTTTGAGTTTCTTGGCTAGAGACTGGCTGAGACACTCCCCAACCCCTAATAAAAGACTAACAGGAGAAAAATAAACCAGAGTTTAGTAACATGTATACTTCCTGTATACATGGGAGAGACTCAGGAAAACTGAGCAACTGAAATGGCCCAGGCCATTGCCTTAAATACCATCCCTAAAGAGAAAAAATGTTTGGGGTGGTGGGAGCCTGTTACGGGAGGTTTTCAGGCAAAGCAGGTAAAAGTGGGTAAGGTGCCTCTGCGGATTTAAGTCTCTGCCTTTGAAAAGTGTTTCTGGGGCTTCTCATCTTCTTCCAGACACAGAGGAGACACCCTGATAAATGGGAGGTCTCTTAGAATTGTCTTAGGAAAGCTCAGCTTCTATTAGTTTTTCAGAGCTTTTTGTATATCTGCTATTTCTTAATCAGCTTAAAATAATCCTTATGCCAAAGAGGCATATTTTGGGGTGACAAATCCTGCCCCCCTTCATATCATCAGATCCAATTCAGAGATGAGAAAACTGGGGCCCAGAGAGGTTCCAGTGAATAAGCAAGGGAGATGTTTGGCAAGGAACCTCACAACCAGACCCAGCTGTTTCCTGGGCCTGGAAGGCTCAGGCCTGAGGGTCCCAGCCACACCCAGTGTGTGCAGATCTCAGGGTGGGATGGAGCTGGGTGGGTGAGGCTCCAGATGTGGGAGCTTGCCTAGCTGCATGCATTTTACTCTGCCCGTGGAAACAGCTGAGACGGCCACAACTCACGTGGCAAGTTAAAGGTTTGAGCCGTGTGGTCTTAGGCAGCTCCTTCCCTTCTTCTGGGTGTTAATCTCCCATATGAAACTGGGGTCAGACTTCTGCTGAGCCTTCTGGAAATGAGGCTTGTCTTGGAAGCAAGACAACTAGCAAAGCAGGCCTGTGATGTTTGCTGACATTCTCACCTCTGCCAGCGGGTGTGGAGGAGGCCTCTTACCCAGCCTTAGAAGTGGTCATGTCTGGAGGCAGGGCCTGCGGTGGAAGGCCAGAGCTCCAAGCTATGCTGTAGTCCAACACAGTGCCTCATATAAACTGGGGAAACTGAGGCCCCGAGAGGAGCCAAGCTGGAGAGCCGGCCTCCCTAGGTTTTTCTTCCCCTCATCTCTTTCACAGAGCAGTGCCTGGCCTGAAGCTCAAGATTGCTGGGAAATCTCTACCCACGGAGAAGTTTGCCATCCGGAAGTCCAGACGCTACCTCTCTCCCAAACCAGTCTCTTTGCCAATTCCTGCTCTGGTGGGTAGGAGGGTCTAGACTGTCCCTGCGCTTGTTTGGGATTGTGGGGGTTACTGAAAGCCAGAGATACTGCGAGGGCCAGGGGGAAGTGGTTGGGGGGAGAAAGACCTTCATGCCTCAGGGCTCTGGAAAGGGTTTCACAGTTTACCTAGCACTGTGACGGAAGCACACAAATGAGTCTGAGCCAGGCCCTGCCTGATAAAGTACTGGTCTGGTGGCGGTGGGGAGACAGGAAGGCAGGCTTCAGATGCTTCGAGGTGAAAGTGCCCGGGCAAAGGCATCACTTAGCTGTTTACGTTCCCACACATCTGTTTTAGTCCTGCCATATTGTAATGGTTTACACTGTCCCCCTCACTGGACCACATTCTCCTAAGGCCCGGGACCATGTTCTATTCAACTCTATAATAGCTAACAGTGTTACTGGGCATGGGCTGTGTTCTTTATACCCATTGCCTCATTTGATCCTCACAACCACCCTGTGTAGATGTTGGTGTATCCCCATTTTACAGATGGGGTAAGGCATAAGAGATAAGCAGGAAGATAAAATATCTAAGAAATAGGTAAGATATAAGTAGATGAAATAACTCCTCTGGGTCACACAGCTAGTGACTTGTTAGATTTTAAACCTAGAATGGTTTTAGAGCCCAGATTCTGAATGATGCTAATTCCACTCATGATTTTAGCAGGAATCCGAGAGGTTTCTAGCTTGTTAAGTCTGTTATTCAAATACTAAGGTAGCCAAAAAAGTAGAAAGGCACTGTTTTTTTCTGGTCCTGGCCCCACTGTTCACCAACTATGACCTTCGATAGGGTTCCCCTTCTCTTAATGTAAAATCAGGGGTAATATATACCTTGCCTGTTTCATACAGCAGTATGAGACTTAGCTGATAAAATGTTAAATATTTATAAATAAAAAATTTGAATATTAATATAGAATTTATGTATTTCTGAACCAATTTTGAAACTCTTTAAAATGTACAATAAAAAAATAAAACGTACAATAAAAAACTATTATCATATGGGGGATGAAAGGGCAAGTGACTATACCAAAAATTCAGGAGAGAATTTCCCAAACTATAATCTGCAAAATGCTTTTTATGCCTAAAACAGTTTGTGATTAAATATATTTGGGAAAGACCAGCCTAAACAAAGTTGATATACTGTGGATATTTTGGAGCCTTACATGATAATATGTATAGTAAGTCTCCAAGAATAAGCTGAAAATGACTTTTTTCCCCTAACCTTTTGAGCCACAGACACCTATTTTTTTGCAGGGACATCTGCTACCTTGGGACCATATATACCATTGGAGGAATACTGGTTCTAAACTTAAGTTGCCTCCCTAGAACATAACAAAAACCAAAACTGTAACATCTTTTTAGAACTTTTTGCATACAAATCACTTTCACATCTATGACCTGGTTCCATAGTTTAGGAAATGCTAATGGAATTATAAATGAACATCTTAGTATTCTGATATTCCTGGCAGCCAAAGCCAAGAAAGGTATCAGGATGTGTGTTGCAATTTTCATGATGGCCCTTCAAGCCCAGTGCCTTGGGGGAAGAGAAACAAGGTGACACAGTCTTAAGAGCTATTGGAAATCCTGAAGTGCCCATAGTACCTCCAGTGTAGGTGGAGGTCTGCCAGATGGAGTGGGGAGGACGACTTTCTGGAGAATGTAGATCATGGCCTGGTCCTCAAAGGATGGGGGGAAGAGAGGTCAGGAGAGCATAACACCCAGGGAAGCCATGAGCAGAAGAGCAGTTAGAAACTATGTGCAGCCATGAGAAGAACAATGAGGATATGTGTCCATCTTAAATCCACGTTAGTGTAAGATGAGACCCCAATAATAAGTGCTGAGGCTCCCTACCGTGACCCCTTAGAGGCCACAACATCATTGGCTGGGCTGAGACTGGTCATAAAAGATTAGAGCCAGAAGGGCCTTTAGTGATCCTCTGATGTGAGCTACGCATTTTACAACTGGGGAAACTGAGACCCTACTGGGAAGGAAACCTTTGGACTGACTTGCTCCCTTGCCCTCAGGAAATGATGTACATTTGGAATGGCTATGCTGTGATCGGGAAGCAGCCGGAACTCACGGACAGGATCCTTGGGATTATCACCAAGGCTGAAGAGATGCTGGAGAAGGGCCCAGGTGACCACCCCCGGGCCCTTGAACCTGCCAGGCTGAGTCACATCACAGGTCTTTACAGTTACAGGTTCCCTCTACCAAAAATGTCCTTCTCTACCCTGGTTAATGGTCCTTTGCCTTTCTAGACTGAGTTTCAGTGGCATTTCTCCTCGTTGTCCCTTGTCCCCCAGGTAGGGTTAAGGCCTCCTCTGGGCTCCCACAGCCCCTGGGCTCCCACGTCAATCCTGATCTCACTACATTGTCACTGTGTCAGTATCTGTTTTTCCTTCCCAGTTATGAGCTTCCTGAGGACAGTGACCATGGGTCAGTTACCACTCTGTCCCCAGGGCCCAGCAGAGTAGGGGCTCTGCGAGTAACTGTTGCAGAAATAAACGAGCCTGCCTTCTTCCCTCACTCCCTATTCTCAGAGAATGAGTACTCAGTGGATGATGAGTGCTTGGTGAAGTTGCTGAAAGGCCTCTGCCTGAAATACCTGGGCCGTGTCCAGGAAGCTGAGGAGAATTTCAGGAGCATCTCTTCCAAGTAAGTACCTAGGTGGCTGCTCCCAGCCCGGATGGCCAGCCTGCTGCTGGGCCCGGGTCTCCTGGATAGAACTGGCTGGGTTCTCCTCCCTCACGCGTACTCCAGTGCTTGACCCTAGCCCACCCCCCTCACTGCCCTTGTACTAGTGTCTGTTCTACGCCAGGGTCCCTACTGGGCAAGATCATCCGGGATCCCATTCCCTGGGGCCACCAGCCCGGCCAACCACAGGAGTCCAACACTGAAGTTTCAGGGGAATGGTACCCCCTAGAGTTTGTAACTCAACTCCGCCCTTGAGGAGCACAAGCATTATAGGCAGAAGCTATAGGAACTCCATCTGGTATGATCAAGACTGTGCTTGAGGCAAGCAGTGCCCTGAGGAGGGACCTAAACATACTGCGAGATAAGGCTTCCCAGGGAGGCCATCTCAACTGGGAAGTTTATTAGGCAGAGAAAGGAAAGCAGGAGTTTTGAGTACCTGGCACCTGGGCACAGGGAAAACATGGAAGGTCGGGGTAACAGTGATTAAGTCCTTCCCTGCCTGGGTGAAGTTACAGAGGGACAGGGTTACAGAGGAAGTAAGGGGGACTAGACGGAGAAGGGATGGATGTTTTGCTTATATGGCCGAACTTTATCCTGTAGACAGAAGATCCGAGAATACTGCACAGGGCAGATTTGGGTTTTAAAAGGTGACCTCTGGGGCAGCTTGGAGGATGGATCAGAAGAGCCAGCCTGGAGACAGGAGACTTCCTAATTTCGTAAACCATTTCCCCTGGACCAAGGGGGTCGGGGACAAAGGTGGGCATGGGCAAAGGACAGGCACAAGCCAGAAGTTGTTGGGGCCCTAGGTGCAGAGGACTGGAAAGCCCTGCTGGCGATCATAAACCTTTCTACGGCTGTGTAAGAGTCTTCCCCAACTAGGCTTCATTGTCAGGGAGCCGCACGTGAGGGCTCGGATCAGATCTTTCCACGCGGAGAGGGCTCAGGACGAACCCGAAGGATATCCAAGAGCAGGGCCTGTAAGCCATGTCCTTCTCTGTCCTACAGTGAAAAGAAGATTAAGTATGACCACTACTTGATCCCAAACGCCCTGCTGGAGCTGGCCCTACTGTTTATGGAGCAAGGCAGAAACGAAGAGGCTGTCAAACTCTTGGAAACTGCCAAGTAAGGCGTGGGTAGCACTGGTCTCTCCTTTGTTCCCCCCGAGCTCAGGAGACAGGAGCAGAGGCAGCAGGGAGGGTGCTGGTAAGGGCATTATGGGAGTCCAGAGGCCAGGCCTGGTCCCTGGGAACCCCGCAAGGATTGGGATCCCAGAAATAGGGAATGAATTACTACCCAGGGTCTCACCACAGGCCCAACTGCAGAGCTAGAAGACCCAGGTCTGCCACCTTCTGGCCCCATGGATTTCTCAAAATCATTCTGTCAGGCCTGGGGACTCAGCAGGCGTGGAGTAGTTCAAGGGTACCTACCAGGGTGAGGGCACTGTGTGGGATCTGTGAGTCCACACTGGGCAGGGCCCACCTCTTCGGACAGAGAGCCTCCTTGGTCTGGCAGCCTCCTGCAGCTCAGACTGAAGGAAGAACACTTCCCAGGGCAGCCTTACAGGTCTGATTCTTTGCTTTTTTCCAGGCAAAACTACAAGAATTACTCCATGGAGTCAAGGACACATTTTAGAATCCAGGCAGCCGTACTCCAAGCCAAGTCTTCCCTAGAGAATGGCACCAGATCCACGGGCTCAGTGTCTTTGTAGTTTTATGCAGCACTCCCTCCCAGGCTGGAAGACAGAGACACGGACAGAGCTCCTGGAAACATTTCAAAAAGATCCCCCCACCCCCCGCCCTGCCTTTGGGGCCCACCGGTGCTCCAGCGGGACAGCGCAACATAGATATCCACGCCGAAGGGAAGCCGGCATTCTCACCAGTGCGGCCAAGGGCCTTCAAGGAGAATGGGTGGGGCCCTCGGCTTGCCCTGTCACACATACGGGTACTTGTTTTTCACTGTGATGTTTAAGAGAATGTATGAACAGTTTACATTTTCCTTAGAAATATATTAATGGGATCACAGTTGGCTTAAAAAAAACTGTAAATCTTTGTTTCAACCCATACTGATCTGAAGGTAAATCTATAGATGATGCTTTTTCAAAATTCAGCAGTGTCTCAGCTTCCAAGGCCAAAGACCCCATCAAGGCTTCTGAGTGCTGGGCAAGAGGTTGCACAGGCACCCACACCTTACTTCTTACACGTCATTTTCACTCCCTTAGTAACTTTCTAATTAAAAAAAAAAATCAGATGAGTATTATTTCACTAAAAAGACCTGTGAGTCTATCTACAGGAAAAAAAAAATCAATCTTCATTAATAAGGACTGAGAGTTGCTGAGGCCTGACGGAACGGGAGCTTTCTGGCTCTTTCTGCACCAAAGCCAAGACGTTGTGGGGGAGGGTCTCCACACCAGTCTGCATCCTCACTGTGCCCACGTGAACCAGCTGGGAGTAAGTCACAAAACAAAAATCCTCTGTGCTTTACTATGAGGTACATTTATTTCCTGACAGCATTTTTCTTAGAATGGTTATATTCTTGGCCTGTTGTGTATGTTTTAGATTTTTCAGTTAAGAGAAAAGATATTTAAGTAATAAAACTCACACACTTAAGAGATCACGCAACATCTATTTCAGTAGAGTATGTGTTGCTTGAATTCTTGGGCAAGGCAGAGTCTGGATCAGAAGCCATATGGCCCAGGTATGTTTTATTTAGACAACATGATGCCTTAAATGTTTTAAAATAAGTTACTGACATTTAAAGATGGGGAGATCGCAACAAATCTGGTTTCTGGCCTCTTATTTAAAAAGAAAATCCAACCTGGCAACATCCCTATAGAACAAGGCAACAATCAGAGCTGAGTAGAGGCTGCTTTAAACTCCCGTATTCTCCTTCTGGGCTCTCAAAGCATCTGAATTTGCAAGCTCCAGGGCTGTTACAGTGAGAGCTCCAGTTCAGTGACCATATGCCCAGCTAAGGACCGCATACTTCAACTTCACCATTTCCCTGGAGGAAGAAAATCATGTACACAGTAAAAATACTCATCTGTGAAATGTGTCTCCTCAGAGATGAATGCAATTTCTGTAAAGGAAGAACCACAGACAACTTCCTAATCTTCTGGAATTGCTGGACTTTTAGCCAACACCTATGAACATCTGCCATGGGCTGGGGAGGTTAATCTATTAACACAGGCAAGCAGCCTTCTGTGACTAATACCGAATGAAGTCATAGGTTTTAAGTAAAGCAAACTCTCGTTAGGAAAACAAAACCCTCATTCAAGATCGTTTTGCACTTAGTAGTGTCAGAGCAGAAATGCTATGAAAAAAAATTTCTCATTTTGTTAGATCTAGACACAGAATGCTCGCCACCAAGAGCAAGCCCTTTGCAAGCTTGCTCTCCAGGACAGCCTGAGCCTAGGTTGTCAGGCAGGGAGGGTGACAGCAGTGACTAGAACCAGGCTGCTGGAGGAGGGTGGCCTTTCATGGTTCCTTCACATACAGGAACGCTAGTACCTACCGCTGCAGATAGATAACAGCGCGCTGGTCACAGGATACCAAGCACAGTTTGTAAAACTGCAGTTAACAAAAAACTTAAACATTCATTTTAGGCACTTAAAAAAAATGTATGCCAGGATGGTTTCCTTGTCAATGTTATTACCGATTTCCCGCTGGGCTTCATTAATGAGCCGAGGTCACCTGACCTCTGTCTGCTGCTGTGGCCACAGTCTGGCTGGTAAGAGAAGTTAGTGGGTTTGGGCTACTTTATGCCACCTGCAGCTGGAGCGGCTGGAGACAGTCTATTAAAAACATGTTTATGAAGTTGGGTGAAAATGTCAGGTGTCTACCACCATTATCTTTGTTCAGAAACTTTGAAAGTGAATATTCTGTCCTGGGCTGCTTCTATCTCCTTTGAGCCACTTCTAGTTGTTACATCTCTAATAGAGCAGAGCTTTCTAGCACATGTACCCGGGAGAGGCAGCTAGCTTCCAGGTGGAGAATTCTGGCCTCGAAGTAAGGAGACCTGAATTCGAGTCCCCACTCTGTTACTAATTTTCAGAGTGACCTTGGAAAAGTCATGGACTCTCAAAAGATTAGTAATTTGCACTAGATTAAGGCTCTTTCCTGCTGTCAATGGTTCTGAGTGGGACTCTGGTCCCATATGTTTCTGGATTTTCACATCCAAAATGAGGTAAGGCTATGTACCTCCCTACCTGCTGCCAAAGCCTGGTATCCCTAAGCGACTCTGCGAGAAACGGCAGGCTTTCTCGTGGGCCTCAACAGTAGCCCAGCACGGGAGAGCCAACATCTTCATTTGGGGAAAGGCTAAATCCTGATACACGGAGGAGCTCCGCTGTTCGGAAGCAGTGACTACATAACACGATCTACACAGGCCCTGGCCATGGAAAGTCTACCTCCGCCTCTCATGGGCACGGGCCTCGGACTGGCAGGGCGGCTTCCAGCACTGTGCTGGCCCCTATCAGCTCTCCCCTGTGTTGGCAGGATTTCCAATTCCTTATCTCAAGTCGGAATGGGAGTGCTTCCAAGACAGCTTTCATCATTCGTGGCAGAAAGTCATAACCTGACAGCAAAGCCGGGACCCTAAAAGGCCAATGCCAACACAAGACTTGGCTGAGACCCAGGTGGAGGAGTTCCAGCAACTGAATGGCACCAGGAGGTTTTCAGAAAGCCTCAGCAGGCTGAGTGCTAGAATCATGAAGGAAAAAAATCAGACTTTTCTCTGGAGTTACTCCCAAGTTTGTTTATTCTAAGATGCTGAGGACAAGACAGTCTTTTTCTTTGCTTCAAACTGAAAGCCTAACAACTGTTTCTTTATGTTAGCACCATCATACTAATTCACTAATAAATGAGAGGTGCTTGGGATTCTGAAAACCAAGCAAAAATGGGAACCTCTCATACACACATACCTCAGATGTAGCTTTCCAAGGTTGGAAAATGCTTTTTTGCTTAGGTTAGCACAGCTCTTGAAATCTAGTACAAAGTTCATCACTGCTGAACAGGTTAAGTCCACAAACAAGGAACCCCATTTGGCAGCTTGAAAAATCCATTTCCAAATGAGCAATGTATGACTTGCTTTTACTCTATAAAGCCAACTGTTAAGTGACAAAATAGAACAGCCGTTCCCTTGGGAGGACAGTTACTAAAGGTTGCTATGGACTTCTACAAGCTGACATTCGAGTTTAATCAGACACATCACAGGTAACAACTCACTAATGACTGGATTGGGTTTTATTTTTCCTTATATCATTAGCAAATTGTTCAGAACACCAGATTCCATATGCTCTGGGTGTTTTGAAAAATAATGGCTAATATTAAGTGCTCGCTATTTACCTGTTGCTAGTGTAAGCACTTTACATGTCATTCTCGTAACCACTCTATGAAGTAGGGACTAATACACATGAGAAATGGAGACAAAGGGTAAAGAACTTGCCTAAGATCACACAGCTATCATGCAGCAGAGATTTAAAGCTGGGCACCTGAATTCTAAAGCCACACTTTGCTGAACTGCTGGTAAAATTATCAACTTAAAGTTGAATCTGACTTATACTGACCTCTGGGCCACTACTGCGGATGGGAAAGGTGCTGGCTAATAGCTCACACAGCAGAAATCCTGTGGCATGGCTCTGGAACTGGCAGATGTGACCTATTTCCACACCTCCAGAATGGACCGTGCCGGAGGCCAATCTCGGTGTCTGAAAGCATGATCCTGGCTTCCCGATTCACACGTTGTCCAAGACTTGCCTTTGGATCCTAAATGGTGAGGGGAACCATTAGGAGGCCTTCCCCAGGAAGCTGGGCTCATTACTTTTGCAAAGCAACCGAATCTCACAGGGTTCACCACTAGGACCAGACTCTGTAGGTAAACACTCAGCTACCTTGTTTCAACTTTTCTCAGGGCCAAGAAATCCGGAGTCTACAAGCACTGATGCTGCTCCTCCTTTGATCAGGATCAGTTTTAGATGCTTCGAGTCTATACCTTGATAATGCTGCTTCATTCATATGCAGAGAAAAAAAAACTTTCTGTGGAGGAATTTAAAGAAGACAGTGTTCCAGTGGAAAGTAATTTTTCTCAAGAAAAAAAATGTAAAAGAAAGTTCTCTCTCCTGAAGTTGTCTTAAAAACTTTATGAAAACAGTAAATGGTTTTAGTTGATCAACAACATTAAACAGGTGGATCCAGCTGTTGCTCTGACCAAAGACTATTGCACAGAGTGCTAACACGGACAAGAACAATGTGGACAATTAAAACAGATAAATCCAAATCCCTTTTGTACAGTTTTGCTGAAGCCCCTAACAAAATTTTATGGATTAGGAAATGGGTTGTAAAGGGACTCATGGATTCTGTTTCCAAGCTAAAGAGCAAGGAAACAGCCAAAATAGAAAAGCAATACTCATACCTGGACAATCAACCTCTGAATCAAGGAGCACCCAGTCATGCTGTTATTTTTTAAACCACCACTATGTAATTTATAAAATTATAAATTTATAAACTGGGTAGAATTAACTGGGCTAATCTTTTTTGTGTGGGATGTTTTTAGATCCACAGGCTCTCAGAAAACAAATTACAAAGTATATTTAAAAATTAACATTGCCAAAATACATGTGCCTCATCCATTTATTAATGTCTGTCATTTTAATATAAACCTTAATGTGTTGTAATTTAGCTCTTTTCTTAGAAGAAAAAAAGGTATTTCTCTCTAGTAAAAATACTTTATGTGCAGAGCTAATTAATAGCCAACTTAAGTTGGTTTTAACTTTCCCTAAATACATAGAATTAACTTCATATATCTTTCAAACCACTTAGAAAAAGTACTATTTTTAAGATGTTTATATTATACAATCAAACGTTTACCGTTACTCTATTAAATCTTTATGTTTCATTTGAATTACCACACACGAAAGCCATAAATCTGGATTGTATTAAACCACTGCCTAGCCATAGGCAAATACATGTTTTTATCCACAAAACTGAGAAAAAAATTCTTTCAGAGACCACTTGTAATGGCTCTCAGGAAAACCTCATCTAATAATAGGTCAATCAGTAATTATATTCAATAACAAGCATTTATTAATGAGCACCTAAAGATGTTTTGTGTACATCTTTAAGGAAAACAATGTATTTTAAAGAGATGAATGGGGGATCCCTGGGTGGCTCAGTGGTTTCACGCCTGCCTTTGGCCCAGGGCGCGATCCTGGAGTCCCGGGATCGAGTCCCACGTCGGGCTCCCAGCATGGAGCCTGCTTCTCCCTCTGCCTGTGTCTCTGTCTCTCTCTCTCTATCATAAATAAATAAATAAAAATAAATCTTTTAAAAAAATAAAGAGATGAATGGGCAGATCCCATCTTAACAGGTAGGCTAGCCTATAATTAGATCATTCCTGAAGAGAGCAGGAACACAGCACAGCCTTCATGAATAGAAGCATGAAATTGATGCAAACGAGACCTCATGGCCAAATATTTAGGAATGGAGACTAGGAGGGAAGAAATTAGAAGGAATTCAGCTAAGTTCTCAAAGGATTAATAAAAAACACAGCAGGAAAAGCCAGCTCAGGATGCTGACGGCTCTTCTGCCCATACTTCCCATGACGGAGCTACACTGAACGGCTTGTATCTTAGGGACGCATAGAGCAATGTAGCATTAGAGCAGGGGAGCTGCGGAGAGGGTACAGGATGGATTATAAACTAGCTTCTCTTTCATCCACCCAGGAAAAGACCACATGATCTTTACAATCAGTGAGTAAATTTAAAAGTACTTGAGATACTACCCAATCCAACTGTTCTCATGTTCACTAATTTCAAAATTAAAGGCTTATGAAATTAGCTGAGGCTACTACAGTGGCAGCCGTGCAATTGGCTGGCTCTGAGACAATCCTAGGCGATGCCTTTGAGCGGAGGTAACCACCAAACTGCTTACATTTCTGAATCATGCCAAAGAAGCTTACCTTCTTCACTGCTTACCATTTCAGTCTCAGAAATCTAGGCAGGTCTGCTTTTGACTATTATTCCTTTGTAAAATATGTGCTTCCTTATGACCAGGCTTTGTGTGCAAAGAAGGTTAGCCCAATGCTCACCGTACTCTGTAAAATCATACGGGCTGATGTAGGGGACACCAACAGGAGGAAATCTTTTCCTGGTTTAAGACATTCTCTATAAAGAACACTCAGAATTGAAAAGGTTTTTGTGAACCGAAGTATTTCAACTAACTGCTAGGTTTACACTTAAGATTTCTTTTACTTTTTCCAGGTCAGGCTTTTCAGACATTTCAAATCCTATAGCCAACCTTGAATGCATCTTCCCTAAATCGAAATGTTGCACCTATTATTTGGCTTCAGAAAATCTGAAGCTATCAAGCTTCTAAATTTATGATTAGATGGTATTAAATGCCATATAAAAAGTACTTCCCAAGTTTATAATCTTAGAGATTAAAATTATACACCATTTAAAAGAAAGGATTAGATAATTTGGGTAATATTCTTACGTAAACAACTCTAACTGTAGCCCTTTACAACTGTATTATAACTTTATTTAACTTAGTAAAAGCCAAAATTGATAGTTCTTAACATGGTGTATGGAAATCAAAATTAAAGAATACAAAGTACCTTAAAAATATTTTTTCAGCTCAATTCTAGTTCCTTCACTATTACTGCCAAACTTCTGTGAAAGAAGCCTTGCGATAAAGACTAACAGCAACATTAGTTTTTAAAAGTTCACTTACCAATTTTAACAATCTAGAAAAAAGGAAAGTCAGACATGTATAAGTAGAAAACACAAGGATAAAAAAAGTAATATCTATGAAAATATTGCACAACTTCAGGTGTTTCCTCCAAATTTGCTTTATGTAATTGAATGGATATAAATTAATGAACAAAAACTTAAGCAAGATACATGTAACAATTTAACAGAACCTGATAATTTAATTTTCAGTTTTTCTCAAATTCATCTTTAAGTCTTTCCATCATGGGGCTCATAAGAAAATTAACCAACATATGGATACTACAGTCTAGTGTCAAATCTTTAAGTATTTATGACATACTGAATTCCTCTACAATGCAATTATGAAGAACCCTCAAGATACTTGTGTTTTGTATGTAGAAAAGTGTTAGAGTCAAATATTCAACTCAATATTAAATAAACATTTCTGATGTTAGATTGAGATTGCTTCTCCTTTTGCTAATGAATGATACTTAGCTGTAATATCACTGAGCTGAACAAATAAGTCACCTCTGAGTACATAAGGAAAAATAAACACATGCTAAATGGATAAAACATTACAAACTACATCTTTACTAAACCATCTATACCTCTAACACCTCTAACACTTCAGAAGCTTAGAGATTCAGTGTTCTTACATTAACTGCAAGAAAGATAAAGGAGAAATTCCCGCTTTGAGATCACAACTATGAAGTCATATGGTTATACAAATTCTGCGTTTGTGTGCAAAACATGAATACGTTTATCTTAATTCTCCCTGCTTAGACTTGTCAGCCAGCAGGACTTTCCTTTCAAAGAAACAGACTGAGATGTGTTTTATATAACTTCAATAACCTCATCACTACAATAATAAGAGATGCAGTATCCTTTTGCTATGGTTCAAGACAATAAGGGAAGGAGGTCGCAAGAAAGAATAAATCAAAACTGTTAGAACTGAGCAACTTTTCTCAGTTTCACCATGGTGCCACTTTCATTTTACATAAGCATGGTGGCATAATTCAAGCTCCATAAATCAGAAATCTTAATATTTAAAATTTACCTTGACTTTTAATTATTACCATATTAACAACCAAAGTAATTAGATAAAACACACAGGAAAGGGTAACAGTAAACCCCACTTTACTAGAGTTGGTTTCTTGACATTAACTCAGTGTTTATAGAAAAGGGATAGTGCATCTCAGTTTGCTTACAAGCTAGGAGATCACTTTGAATTCTGCATTTCCTAACTGCAAACAGATATAGCACTTATAACAGGTTATAAATAAACTGGTTTTCAAGCATAGAGCCAGCCCCAACGATAATAATACACTATTTAAAAAGACCTAAGGCAATGAATTCCATTTCCAATGGAAAAAAAGAACTGTGCAAACAAGCTTAAAACTACTTTTTTTGTGCCAGTGTTATAAAATGTAGCTTTTAATAAAACCTTGACCCAAATGCCAGCAACTTCAGAAAAGAATTTGGGTGGGGGGGAAAAAGAGAGTTATTTCATTTAGGAAAAACAACCACTATCTTTTTCCTAATCTTCAACACACACAATTTAAACATATACAGCTGCTGTAACACTTTACACAATTCCTATGTACTGGAGCATAACAAGATCTAAATACAATTATATTTTTAAACACTGGGTCAAGGCTTTACATAAAAATACCATCCTACTTTTCCCCCTAAGTTTCTAAAATATCACATATTTTTTCCCCCAACATCTGCAGCCATTCAGGAATTTTTAGGAAACTTTTGTGCATGATCTTAATTCCTAATCCCTGACTCTTTGGGCTCAGTGACAAAAGATCAAAACCACCAAAAAATGATGGTTCACTTGAAGTCAGACCAGAGACCCTGGCTCAATTAGTCTCGTAGGACGAAAGCAGTGCTGCATCAACTGGCTCCATGCAAGAGGGGCACGTGAAGGATCTCATCAACCAGTCATCTATACAGTCCAGGTGATAGATGTGCATGCACGGCAGAAATCGGATTGGGTCCCCATAAACAAAGTCCATCATACAGATAACACACCTGTTGGGGGTGAGGGAGAGAGAAATCAGAAAGCATTTTTTAGAGAAGTGATGTATCTAGAATACTCTTTAAAATCCCATTACAAAGACTGTTAATCCGAACAGATGAAAATGGCTTGCCTGTCATCCTACCAAAGCATGCAAACTGATTTTTCCTAATAAGCATTAATCCATCAGCAATCTCTCATTTTGATCCGCTGGAAATTCATGGGAGTTTGAGAGCTATCAACAGAGCAAAGAGAAATGGACCACGTGGGGATCAGGTCCTTCCTAGAACTGCACTTGTAAAATAGCTACATATTATACAAGACACCCAAAGAATGTGATGCTTCTGGTAGGAAGCCATCAGATCAACTCTGTTTACATGAACTCAGTTTTTAATGTACACCCAGGAGTAAGACAGTTTTCATTTTAATAACTATGTTAAAAACCATCACTAATTTTAGCCTACTTAACTGAGCTGCTGTAGCTAAAGATCTCTTCATTAACCCTAGTTTCAGATTCACGGCATTTTTTCCTACAGGTTTAAGAAGGAACCCAGTGCTGTAGGATTTCAGAAGTCCATATTCAAGACAGGTTCTTAAGTACTAGCACTAAATCGTGCTATGAGTCAAAACAACTAAGCATCAACATAGTAGAGTATGTCTTTGTTGGCAAGATCATTCTCAACCTATAAGAAGTACTCATTAGGGATTCTCAGACAGTAATGAGATCTGAGGATAAAAACTTACCAGAAGTAAAATTTGATATTCAACTCATCAGGCTTAATAAAATTATTCCTCAAATTAAAAAAGGATTTAAGATTTTCCTCATTGTCACTAAAACTCCTTAACAATTTTAATACTGCATAATCTACCAAAGTTTTCCTATGCCACAATTAACTATACTTCTACTCTTAAGTAAAACCATGGTGAGTATCTTTGTATATAAAACACTAGGAGTTGGACTGAGGCACACACTTTAGGACAGATCTCTAGAGCTGACGGTCTCAAACAGTATAGATCTGAGAAGGTCCTTGACATATTGCCAAATTGCTTTCCTAACTGACAAGGCCACCAGCACAATCACACATAAATCATTTTAACTGACATCAACTGTCATCCAAGTGGGCACAGACAACATATAATATGGTCAGAATTCACACCATTTCTTAGCTATCTTTTTACCGAAAATTCTTAATTACTATAACTCAACATTCTCTTGCATGAAATGATTATCTTAAATATATAACTTCTAAAAATCCAGGAGATTATTTTTCAAAAGCAAAATTCTGGAGATGGACCTTTGAAACATGTATAAATTAAAACTTACTCCCGGATCTTTTTTTCTGATCCATCCCTTCCAGGGTCATAAACTCCTTTAGGCAGATGTTGTATAAGGCCTATTCTTTGAGCTATCCTAATTTGTTCCTCTTCAGTCAGCTGAGTTGCTAGGCGAGTCTGGCTTGGTGTTGGATGATAGACTGGAACTGGAACTTGTTCCTAAATTTAAAAACACAGAGAAAATGATTATTTTTTAAACATCTGTTTTTTTGGGGTAATGTTTTTCTTGTTTCTTATTTTTTGGCTTAGTGGGTAGGAGGGGACCTTGGAGAGGTAGGAGATTGTTTTACTCTGCCTTAACTTTAGCATATTTGACCAACTTTTCAAAGATAAAATCTTTACTGAAAAACTCGCATTTTGTGTTGGAATATTGTGAAGTATTTCCACATGAAGGCTGCATAACTAATATCATTCTTGATGTGCAAATAAATATATTTGTACAACGGGAACAATACACAATATATATAATTAAAAGACTTCAATACTCTAGGCTATATTCTGTATTCAATGGAGTTTTGTAGTCTCAGTATACCATTATTTACATTAAAACTGGTCATTACAGATCTTATTTGTAAATTCTTTCCATATAGACAGCAACCTTAAAATTATTATTTATTTAGAAAGGCTGGATTATTATTGCAATAAATTTTCATGAAATTTCTTAAGCTTTTGAGTAAGTATTTGGATATGACAACTGAGCCAAACGAGGCTACCCTTCTTCCCAAATGGAAAACCTAAGTTTAGAAGATGTAAGTAAAATAGCCAAATATCTACTTATAATTTACTTGCATATATTAGTACATACAAAATTAATTTAAACATTGTTTTATCTATTCACATTCATGAAATAATTCTATTCATATTATTTATACATTCTTTTAACAGATACTGAATATCTTATGTGCCAGGTAATGGAGGATGCTACTTTAAGATTTATTTTAGAGAAAGAGAGAGCAAGTGTGCATGCAATTCCCATGAGTAAGGGGGAGGGACGGAGGGAGAGAATCTCAAGCAGACTGTCCACTGAACCTGACACAGGACTCAATCCAACAACCATGCGATCACGACCTAAGCCAAAACCAAGAGTCGGATGCTCAACCAACTGAGCCACCCAGGAGCCCCGGGATGCTACTTTAGATAGGAGGCTCACAGCAAACGTCTGATGAGACATTTGAGAAAAGACCTCAATGAACTATAAGAAAGATCATGCATCTGTAACCTAATGATTTCATTGTGGCTAGAACCACAATTTTTGAGCCACTTAAAATGATGTTCCAGAGAACATCTCTACTGAATAAAGAACTTCACAACTACCAATTCACACATTACTCTAGAAAATGGTATTTCCATTCATCCTGTAGGATCACTCCTCATCTCTGCAACATAAGCACTTGTTTGAGGACAGCCAATATTTGCAATTGTGAGATTATGCCTCCAGGAATAACTGCTAAATCTGTGTTAAGCTAAAAAAAAAAATTCTGTGAAATGACCTCCATAATCATCCAAAACATCAATTGAGGCTGCTTTGAACTAATGGCTTTTGTGGTCAAAAATAAAATAATTAAGAGCACCCATAATGAGAAACTTAAGGGCTCAAGTATAAATATCCTTTCTGAAGAGAAATTTTAGGGGAAAGTCTCAGATACATATAAGTTAGTCTTAAATACTGAATATTCAAGGAAGAAAAGAGTTTTCCACATACCACTATGTCCCCTTAAACTATAGCCTTATTTGTAAAAACTCCTTTGGCAATAGTTAGACTTTAAAGGGAGATCAACAGGGACGCCTGGGTGGGTCAGTGGTTGAGCATCTGCCTTTAGCTCAGGTCGTCATTCCAGGTTCCTGGGATCAAATCCCACATCAGGTTTACCATGAGAACTGCCTGCTTTTCCCTCTGCCTGTCTCTGCCTCTCTGTGTGTCTCTCATGAATAAATAAAATCTTTTTAAAAAAATAATAAGGCAGATCAACATAAGACTTTAAATATTCATTACACACACACGCAGGAATACTACTTAGCCATCAAAAAAATCTTGGCATTTGCAATGATGTGGATGGAACTAGAGGGTATTATGCTAAGCGAAATAAGACAATTATCATATGATCTCACTCATATATGGAATTTAAGAAACAAAAAATGAAGATGAAGGGAGGGGAAAATATAATAAGATATAAACAAAGAGGGTGGGGAGGGTGGGACGCCTGGGTGGCTCAGTGGTTGAGCATCTGCCTTTGGCTCAGGGCATGATCCTGGAGTCCTGGGATTGAGTCCCACATTGAGCTCTTTGCATGGGGCCTGCTTCTTCTATCTCTGCCTCTCTCTGTCTCTCATGAATAAATAAATCTTTAAAAACAAAACAAAACAAAGCACGAAGGGAGGTCACTGGAGGGGAGGAGGTGCAGGGATGAGGTATCTGGGTGATGGACATTAAGGAAGGCATGTAATGTAATGAGCACTGGTTATTATAGAAGACTGATAAATCGCTGAACTCTATCTCTGAAACTAATAACTGAATTTAAAACAAATCCCCCCCCCCAATATTCCTTTTCTGAGATTCAGAACAAATGTTTGATTAAAAAATCTCAAAACCCAATAAACCCTTTATCAAATAAGAGTATATCCTCTCATACAAATAAAATGCCAGTAGTTAAATCTCATGTTTTATGAATTTCCAACATCAAATCAATGGTTACTTAAGTTCTTTCATGCTTCTAACTCATCATGTGAATGCTTATCAGAACTATATGCTACATCTAAGTAAACATTTAGTGCATACTACATGCAAAGATGACACCGTATTATTAAAAGTATGGTTCATGGATCCAGATAACCTTAGCTCAAGTCACTACCACTTAAGAGAGTAAACCCTGTTTAAGCTATTTAACCCATCTGGATTAGATGGGTTGCTATTAGGCTTAAATGAGGAACAGTCAACCTTGAAGTGGCAGGGACTCAAGTAAGTATTAATATTGCATTCAAAGAGCTATTATCCATTGTCACAGGCATACTAGCTGCTTCCTCTAAGTTCTATGCTTTTCCATCTTCTGCCTTTGCTCTTGCTATTCCTCCTATCTTTCCCTGAAGTAATTGGTCCAAATTATACCTTGTCCAGCAGGTTGTTGACATGAAATGAAGCCTTCCTCAATCCTTCACCCCACCACCCAATACTGAGACTGTCTATGGCCTCAGCTTAATTACATAGGTGTTGTCTACCAGTACGAGAAACAGGATTAGAGAATACAGTGAGATTTCGGTTAAATATTTTTCATTTTGTACATCAAATTCAGAATCTATTACATGCAACATGTAGATTAAAACCCTATGCACTAGAAAAATAACTGCTGAGCAGGTTTTATACTGTGTATAAAAGTTTTACAACCCTTTGGTTAATAATGATCAAATACGACTGGTGCGTCTTTGGTTTAAATACTTCCAAGTTTTTAACCTAGTAGGCAAACATTCAATATAGAAAAGTTTCATGGTTAAAAATAAAACTCTGCAACTTACTAGCTATAAGGTCCTGTAAACACGGCACTTAGCTGAGTTGATAGAGCACGTGGTTCTTGATCTTGGGGTCATGAATTTGAGCCCCATGTTGAGCCTACTTTAAATAATTTAAAAAGACCCCGAACACATTTTTTTAACCTGAGCCTGAGTTTCTTCATGCTGTAAGAATAACTTGAGAAGTCTAAGTGTTGTCCCTGGTGTAATACAAGATACACATAAAAAAGCATCATTTAGGGATGTCTGGGTGGCTTGTCAGTTAAATGACTCTTGATTTCAGCTCAGGTCATGATTTCAGGGTTATGGGAGTCTGCTTGCCCCTCTCCATTTGCTCCTCCCCACTCCTGCCCTCATCATTCTCTCTCTCAAACAAAACTTTCAAAAAAGCTCAAATAAATGTTAGCTATTGTTAGTGCAGCTCTACTATTATATGACTATGGAACAACATTCCAATATTTAAGAAATGGATTGGATTTATAATCTTACATGTCAGTTACACCTCAAACTGATATTGAAACAAAATTTAGCTCTGAAAAAGAAGAAATGGATTGGACTATGCAGAGATAAGTAAAAGGTTTCAAATTGCAATCTTAGAATTCATCTAAGGTCAACTCTCATCTTATATGCCTAAACTTGCCTATAGTCACATAATTACTGACAATATTACAATCAGAATTCTGGTCTCCCCTTTTAAGTCAGTAATTTCCACTACAGCATTACTCGTTGCCAGAGAGCAAGGAAAACTCCGTGGGTTAATCTGGTTTGTGTCCGCTTACACTACTTTGAAGAATAGTACACTGAAATGACATTTTAAGAGAGCCACAAAACAAGGCATATATCTCATGTGGTTCTTTAAGGATTTTTCATCTGTAATAAAGCTTTTATAATTTCAGTGACTACTAGAATTTAAGAATTTCAAAGAATATCAAATCCATCTTTAAACTGACCCTGTAAAATAGATTCTATTACTACTAGTAGTTAAACTCCAAAGTCTAATCATAGCTGCCCATCTATTCTTTGAAACTCCTGAGGGCTACTTCAGGTAGTTCTTACTATAAGGTTGAGAGTTCAAAGGACTGTTTCTCTATATGCTCACTTTGGGATTTCTGTTCTCTGATGTCACTTTCTTAAACTAACTAGTCTAAAAAGGTAGCATGGCCTACTAATCCAATGGGGTTTTTTTGAGCAACAGATCTTGTTCTGAATAATCTTATTTATAATTACAATATTTAATTGTAATTTATTTAATTGCTCTAGTGGAATGAGGCTGAGGTGGAATGTGACCTACAGGGGTGAGTATCCTCATTCCATCATCTACCTGGGGCATGTTTTGCTAATTTAGAAAAATCAACGGAACAGTTTTTAAAACACTGCTATACAAGAATATGGATTTTGTCTGAAAAATTAAATTGTAAGACTAAAATCTGTTACTATGGGGACTGTTAATATATTTAATAGTCTCAATATCTTTGAATAAAGGTAATAGCACCACTTTAGAGGGTGATGATCCAATCATAAGATAACAAATAGCTTTTAGCTTTATAAATGTCAACATTTCTAAGTCATTCTAACCATTTGTTTTCCCACCACCACCAATGACTCTGGTTTGCAGACTTAAGCTAACAGCTATTATCCCTGGCTTTAGTCCTGGCTCT